AAGAACCTGACCACATACAAGAACCTGACCACAAACAAGAACCTGACCACAAACAAGAACCTGACCACAAACAAGAACCTGACCACAAACAAGAACCTGACCACAAACAAGAACCTGACCACATACAAGAACCTGATCACAAACAATAAGCGCTCCAGTTCTGCAAGTAATCCGTGACTCTTTCACCCGATAAACTACCACAATGAACTGGCAATGTGACGGTGCTGAAGTATCCATTCGATGATGATGATCCAGCACTATGACGATAGTAGATGACAGTGTGATGGAAATTTAACCGGTAAAAACGACAATAAACCGGCAATGTAACAAAACTGAAACAATTACATCACTGAAACAGTAAGAAGAACTAAAACAGGACATATGACGACATCAAAAAGGCGATGTGACGTCACAGAATAGCACCGTACATTTATAGCACGTCAACAGAGCACGCATTGTCATGGGTGTTAGAAAATGCAAAAAATGAACAGTGAAATTCCCTACCTGAACGACATATGTAATATCTCTGCTGATTCTCGCAAGATATACATTGCCAATTGTCCATCTGTTGTAAATTGAAATTCATCTCAATGCATTTGACATCCTGTCCAGATGGAAACGAAGGATCACAGCCAGGCTGGTCATCCTTCCAAAAGGTGTCCTTTACCAATTCACCTGAAAAATACGAAAAAAAAACATGCAGCATTGTCTTTAGAAAAAACCAGGAACAGCTTGAAACAAACTTCAAGAAATGTGGGTGACACATCAGGTGATTTTTGGAAAACATTTTGGAAATTTTGGCAATATCTGGTACTCAGTAGTAATTTCTGTCTACCCATAATTCTCACTCACCGTCTGTCCATCTCCATACACGAGATGTACTGACAGTCCCACCTATCCACCAATGTGTGTTGGTACCTCCGTAGGAACTCATCAAGGCGTTTCTAAGAAAATCCTGCAGGCCTTGATCTGTAACTTCCACCAACCATCTATTATTGCTTTTGCAATAATCTCTAGCGCCGTACCAGGTGCGAGAGACCTGGCTGAATTCAATGCAATACTTGTCGTAAGCCCCAAAATTAGGAAGACTGGGACATGGCAGGTCTGTTAGGAAAATAATAATTACGGTTCTTCATCAGTTAACTGAACTGAATCACGGAGACTTCCACTTGGACAGTGGTTGGGTTGAGGTTTAAGGTGTGAAACCGACTCTCCATAGGCGCACTGGACTCAATTGATCATCTATTCTAGGTAAATTGCGGTACAGCCCCACCTTTTGTCCATATAGTGTGGAATTCGGAGAAGGAAAAATGACCTTTACTTTGTCTGAAGCTTCACCAAACCCACTGAGTCCGCTTTATAAATATGCGCCTTACTGAGGGCCCTCTTTTACATAGACTCTAATTACGAAATAGAAACCTCTCCTCAAGCATTTGTTAAACGATACCAAATATAGTCGCGACATGTTCGGCGCACGGTGGATGTCAAGACGGTCTTTGACAGTCGTCAGGTGGAACGGCCCCATCAACCGAACCACTGCAAAGCACACGAATCAGTGGGAACCATGATCATTCTTTTGGAGTCCAGCTAGCCTTAAATTGACAACAAATCCAGGAAGGATTCCAAAACATTTCACTAATATTTAAACATTTCAAATGTACTGTCATCAGTATTTCATTCTGCGCGAAGAAAGCGAGTCCACTAGCCGACGCGAAAGCCTTACCAAACTGACATATTGAGTACATCATTCTGGGATTCACACTTGATCCACAGTTGATATCATTCCATTGGAGGTCACTGCGATCAGGCAGGGCACTCAAATAAAGACAGCCCTCATTATCGACAATGTTCTGTTCCCCGTCTGCCAGAGTGAAATACTCGATCGGCATCTGACCTGCAGGTATACGGTGTATTGCAACAAAACCAAGTTATGATTTCGGCGGACATAAAAAAATGCTGACGTTACAAAAGAAAAAAAAATGCTCAAACACTGACATCGAAACCACCCTGCCAGCCAACGTGCAACACCACTGCCAGATTTTAACTGAACTTTTTCCATTTACTTACTGCTTTCCCAGATCCAATTAGTGGCTTCTTTCCCGCCAATCCAGTGTTCCCTCGAATCAATTTGAGAAAACAGAAACGTCTGCTCCTCGCTGTTCTCAACCTTGGCCAACGACCAGCCATTCGCATTGCAGCTCGATTGGGCTTCGCTCCATGACACACCGTTCTCAACCGGGATGAAACAGCTTTGCGAATCGTACAAGAGACCAGTAGCAGAACAGGCTGGTTTTGTGACATTCAAACAAGAAGAAATCTACATGTACTTGTGAATTGTATACCTCAGTGGCGAGTAATGGTCGTCCTCTTTAGTTATAAATATTATAATAAATAAATCTGTTTATTGCAACGACCTTTCCTTCACCTTTCTCTGTTCAGGAATACATCGATAGAGACTGGGATTTTTTTAGAGGCAAACACTAGAATAGATGAACTTTTACCGTAGAAAAATGAAACATTTCTGTTGCCTCTTAAAAACTGAATTACAGATTGATGTAAAAAAAAAATCCGCCAATGGCAACTCGCACAACATTTCTACTAGAAAACGCCTGCATGGGACGTATATCGCCCACCCTTTGCTGTTCAAGAAAGAGCAAACAATATTTATACATGTATACCGAGGAGGCAGACAGAGAATAGTGAAAACAATGCCGGCACTAGTAGCTCCGATTGAGAATCAAAGAAAAGTGACCATTGGGGAGAATCAGTCTTAACACTCACGTAAACACCTGAAGTTCGTCTCTGACCATGTTCCGTCAGGCAGGCATCGCCGCGTGGGGTCTTCATCTCCACTGAATCCTTCAAGGCAGGTGTAGGTGATGGTGCCCCCCGTGATGTAACTATCGTGCGCAGGAGTGACAATGCTCCCTGCAGGCGAGTCGGGTGCCAGACATCGGATTGCTATGACATTAATGACAGACTACGTTACTCAGAGAAGCCACTGATTTCATCTCTTTGTGTTGATAAAAATTAACGAGTGAGTCTCCAACGGTTGGATTTCATGGCAGAGCTTTCCTGAATGGTTTAAAGATAAGACGTGCAAACTGACGGTATGCCTTTAAACACTTCTTCAATTGTGATCAGCTCACAGTTACTTCTCAGGGTGATATCAACCATTAATAGAGAGAAAACTTAAGAGTTATGCAGCTTGAAAACCGAAGAATAATAAAGGTTATTTGGGAGATGGCATCATGTGTATGAAGGGGAGTAATCGACCAATACCTGTGCAGTTTGGCATTGTCTCGCCCCAGCCCTGCCCCGTCTCGAGACACACAGCCACTGACGTCGGTCCTTGAAGCTCATAGCCTGGCAAGCACTCGCAAACGACGTACTCCAGTCCGTTGGTTTGGTTTGTGTGGCAGGCTACGTTACTGAGAGACTCAGTGGAGTTACACGGGATCGCTGCTGGAAAGAAAACAAGTTTTAAAAAAGAGGTTTTGAATGAAAAAAACAGAAGAGCTAGAACAACACAGACTTTAGGGAAAACATTCAAGCAACTGCCCGGGACGTTACGAAATTACAAGCAACTTCGAAAGCAGCGTTTAATCAAACTTTACCATAACAAAAGTAAAAACAATATGGAGGTTAAGGATTATGCATCAGAGTGGTAAAAAGCATTTCAACTTTGTCAAAAATATTACTCTTACCTTGACTGGCGGTAATCAGGACAAAGAACACAAACAAGGGAAGAACTTGGCGATTTCTATAGCTGTCCATGGTGGCCAAAGGAACTCATCAATTACATGTAAAGCTTAGACATCAATCGCACAGCTTGCGTACGGCCGGGTCGCGTCGATCGAATGCTCTATGAATTGAGTGGTAGGTTCCCCGTAGAACAAACGATCCAATGCGATTTTCACTTAAAAGAGATTCTGTACGCTTCTTCTTGTCGCTGCTGCGAACGATGTATACGTCAGAAAGGAAATAAAATCATTTTCCTGATAGATGAAAGCCGGTCAGCGTCATGGACAGCTTGTTACCATCAGTCCCCTGACCTGACCAATCTTATCACCTCCGACTAACGACAAACATTTTTTTCGATATCCCTATCATGCTTAGCTGTGGGTAAATGACCATGGTTGGTAAGAGTATGATAAGACCAACATATAAATTAAAATCAAGCGACGTCTGTCAGATCTTTGGACGGACCCTAGTTCGCCTCTTGGCAACTGATGTATTCCTAGCCTATAGAATCTCCACTATTCCGCTCCCAATTACAGGTTCATGATGTCTCAGGTGTTAACACTTTGGTGAGGGGTTTCGTAACTGGTCTAAATTTGGCGTTACTCTCTCCACTAATAGAGAGATATGGATGCTTGCGATCGAATGACGTTGCCCTGATGCAACTCCCTATAGTACCCAGGCCTGCTGAAGACCAATCTCGAGATATCTCTGTCCCATGGTTGCGTAAATCTCAATCGTTATTGCTATATTTGAAGGGGAAGGATTCTTCTTCATCCAAATATTGATATGACTTGGTGATAGCGGAATAATTTATCTTATAGCGCGATTACAAATTACCCCACAGAATGTATCATTACGCGATAAGGAGCCTTATACAACAGTAAGACCGTGGGGTCATTCTCATTAAAGACTTTAAATAAATAGCACATTTTGGCTGACCCAAGAGGAGCAAACATCGGGCATCTTTCATCAGCTGACAATGTTCCGTGGCCTTGCAGTAGCTTTGAAGTAGTAGTTTGTATAAGTCGCACATGCGCACTCTGACAGGAAAAATGTGGTTCACTCACTGGCATGGATCGGGACCGGGAGACTGAATGTACTAATTGACGTTTAGCGCCCTCACTCGGCAGCGGAAATAGGTCAGGATTTTGAAGTCCTCTGCATGAGGTCACGTGAGAGTGGGCCGATAAAAGTTTCTTATAACAGGCAAACACAGAATTCAAAAAATTTTTTTATCGATATCAGATTTAAGTATGAGGTGTGCTCCCAAAACAGAATGACAAAATTTTGTTCGAACAAATTACCCAACTATAATTATTTTTAAGACACAGGGTCAGGTACCACGTCCTACAGTGACTTACAATGTAATAAAATTACTGTCTCGATTTTTGAACGCAAAACAGGCATTCAGTGTTAAGAGGTTGTCTGGGTTTCCTTCACACTCTCTACGACAGCGCCCTCCATTGATCTCATTACTACGGGCAAACAATGCAGACCGATTCCTATTTTGGGAAGGATCATGGGAGCAAGAGTATTAAACTCTTATGCAACGACGTCGGTTTTCAACCAAACCCTGCTGTAAGGGAATGAACCAACTCGTCGGTGAACACTCCATTCTCGATCCATTGAGCAGAATTGCTGGCTTTTGTCATGATTATACCGCCAATTTTTTTCCAGGAACCATGGGGAAGATCGATTGGCCATGACATTTCAGTACGTACACAGCGATCGATACTTAGACGAAAACCTATAGCATGAACAAAAGTTTCATTACCAGTTTAAAGAGAAAATAATTGTTATGATAAACGAAACTGAATAAATGCACAGAACATCCTTCATGTTCATTTACAAAATAGATTTATGGCTAAAATTGTTTTAATTCAAGAAATCCGTAGACCAGATCTAGTTATTACACAGCATTTTTAGCATATTGACACTTTCTTTCTTCTGAAACCGAAACCATGGCTCATTTCCTGCATAAATTTCGTCGATGATGTTAGTGATAATTTTTATCAGGCCAAAGCCAGACATAAATCATACTTAGCGCACAGCAAGTCAAACTGTTTGCGTCCATAGATTGTATGATCATTTGTCATACCCAAGCAAACTTGTACAGGCCAATTAGTCTGGACGAGTATACATGGCGTCAATTTGAAATATTGCCTGCCGTATGGCTATTACCAAAGTACAGTCAGACGAAATTACTTGGAAAGTAGGACTAATTATGTGGTAACTATATACCACCTTTAGCGCAGAGTAATATACACGTGACAACCAAGGCCGCACGTACACACACGGTGAGTGGACTGAACCATCTGAATAGGGGCTACATCTTGTACCGACGTTGGCGGCGCACTACAGCATATTGACGCTCCATGACAACGGTCATAACCCTGCGAGGGCCGGGAGCGTCATTATTCACCATAGCAACGGCGACGCAGGCCAATAACAAGGGGTGCAACGCGGTGAGTACAGGGGAAGCAATCAATGGTGAGGGGAGACATTATCATTGTACGAGGCGTGGAACAAGGACCTTCGATGTATTACATCTTTTTCGATATCACTGCGCGCAATCAGGCTAATACCTGTGCACGATTTCCAGCTTCTACTGTTGGTTGATGCCCAACGCACGTTATGAGAGCTACAGTGTAGCTGGCACAGTCAGAGGAAGTCACTGTTTTTGCTTGATACAAAACTACACCAAATCTCCGGAATACCAGATAAACTGCGCGACGTTAGTGTGTATTATACCTCTCGAACTTTGGACTCTGCTTCGAAAAAGAAGCTCTGTCTGCTTTTACTTAGTTTTAGCACTTTGCAGTGCAGTGAAGTGTCGCGACAACACGACAACATATTTACGCTAGAGACGTGCGTGGCTACGCAGAGCAGAAATCAGGGAGACGATGGGTTGTGGTGGGTCTAAGAATGCAGTAACACCCTCAGTCGGGTCTTCTCAGGCCTGGTCCGACCCGCCAGGGAGCAAGCCTGCCTCGGCTGGGTCCAGCAAGACCAAGCCTGGCCGGCCAAACTCCAAGCTCATCCGTGTAAAGTCCGGCAGCGGCGGAAGAAAGGAGACGGCGGTGACGGAACTGAAGCGAGACCGGGCTGTGTCTCGTGAGTCACTCCGGAGCGACACAGGGTCTGCCGGGGTGGTCCGAGGGGTGTCGTCGGCTACCAGTAAGGCGTCGGCACACACCTGCGATAGCGGTCTGGAGGCCGACTACGGTTACATCATCACAGAAGAATCTGACCCAACGCTCGTAGAGACCGTTATGGACAGGCAACGGCCAAACACACCAGGTAACTTATTTGCACGTCTCTTCACACCAAAAGCTCATCGAAAAAAATTACCAAAGCACACCAAAACCCGAGGTCTGATAACAACTTGTATCGAAACATATTAACATGACCGAAAACCACAGTAACAGCTAGCTAGCTGTGCATATCATGTGCCTCTCACATTCTCCACTTTTCACGGAAATGCCCTTCACTAAGAAAAACTATTGACCTTTCAAAAAGAATCTGCGCTCACAAGAGACGGGGAACCAATCGTTTTGTACATGTAGTATTTTCTCCTTCAAGATAATTTTGTTTAAAATAATTTACGTTTAGGCTTAAAATATCCCGAGTCATAAACGAAATTTCCTTCATCTCGACGCAAGACCATAATTCAAACCAAACAACTATTGTAGATAACATTATTTTCTTTTATACGACGCTGTGAGGCTGCAAACAAATTCTAGCAGAGCCGACTTATTTAAGTATGCGAGCGTGGCGAAGATAAAAGACTGCTTTGACAACAAGCTTGTGACGTCGTTGTAGCTATTGTGTTTAGTCAATCAGATTACGTTACGAGCCACTGAGCAAGAGGTACCTGAAGGCTTTGAATATTCATCTCTTTTACTAACTGAATACCTGGGTGGCATAAAAGCAGCCATGCACTGTGACAAAACTGACCCAATTAAGGCCTAGTAAATCCATTCAACAGTAAACTGGGTTGCCTTTGGTATTAGCCGTGCGTATTCCAAGGCAAATGGCTTTCTTTCGTTCACACAGAAGCTCGAATTTTTAAGCAACAAAAAGATTAACAGCAAGTTAACAACAACTGCATCATGCCTGTTACTGTGATTTTCTTATTAAAAGAATATTTTGGGGTAAAAGCTTTTTATTTTGGACGTGATTTTTAGACTTAATTAAGGGCGTACTGTACTCCCTTCCATATCACAAAAATTTGCTCCAAACCAACTTCGTTTTCTCTAAGGCAAGACAGCAATAATTGTTCTCACAACCGTTTCTGTTTTGTTCCTCTCGAATGAACCACAGACTTGACCCTCCACGGTACTCAAATCTCCTGCCGTAAGCGTAGTGGCAAGGCTCGCACCGACCAAGACATCATCAAGGAACTCAAGACTCAAGGCCTACTATCCAAGCCTGTGGCTGGCCATAGCGGCATGGCCTTCGACGTCATGATCGCCCCAGACTTCGGCATGCTCAAGAAGCCGCCGGCACGCCTGGCCAAGCTCAAGAAGAAAAAGACCAAGAAGAGAACGCTGACCAAGGAGGAATTGGAGGCCAAGTTGAAAAAGGCCGAGGAGAGAAGAAGGGTAAAAATGATACAGTTGCTTTCCTAAATTTGCTATTGAAATAAGAACAACATCAACATCAGAATAACACCAACAGTTGATTTAAAAACAAAAAAAATCCACCAAGACAAGGCTGTAGAAGGCAACTTTGTTGGACAATTTCCGCAAGCTTTGACTAGTAACTTGAGTAACTCAGTCACATTTGTCATTAGTTGTAGAGGGCTTTTGCCGAATGAGAACAGTTCTCTTTCTTTAAACAGCTTATCAATAATACCAGAGCAACGTCTACATAAGAACGTATGATTGTGCTGAACATAAGGGCAATATCATTTTGCACTTCGTGCTGAAAAAAATGAACGCGAATGAACAATCTTCAATTACCGCTTTTTTCGACTAACTAGTCTTAACAGTCTTAATCGAACGGTTACTGATGGTTATTCCGTTTTTCTCATAATTTAACAGTTGAAGGAAGCTCAGAAAATCGAGAAACTCAACACAACAGCTAAGGAGAAACATGTCCACGAATCCCTGGATGCTTCAGAGGAGGCGCAGAAGAGAGAAGTAGCCATCAAGAACGCCAGTGACATGGAAAGGGTGGCGGAGAACAAGGAGGCCCGCCTACAAGCCATGAAGGAGAAACAAGAAAAGAGGAAAGCACACGCAGAGAAGGTGCGTCTAGCCAGGCTGGCCAGGCAAGCCGCGGGGGCACCGACGCAGGAGACAGATGCTACGGACGGCGTAGCCGAAGATGAAGCATCCGCCGTCTGAAGACAGAACACAAACATTCAGCCAGTGGCTTGCAGGGAACTCATAACTGAAATTCTGCATTGCTTTTAAGACAATCGTCACCTCTGTTACTGTTGAGTGTAACTCGACAGGGGTGCCAAAGTGTTCCCCCGATTGAGGTTAAGTTGTATTGAGCAAGTGTAAACTGAAAAGCTTTATATAACCGTGACATCAGAGCGTTTGCACATTATGACACACAGAAACAGAGGATGAGGGAGATCGGGGAATACATGTACATGTATAGAGAGGGGTAAATAGGGTGTCGGGTGGAGTAATAAATAGGGTGAGGAAAAGGATGAAAAATAAAGGCGATGATCAAGACAGGGTGTGTGTAGTGTGAGTCCCCTCAGTGTGAAAGAGGGGTGTAAAAGAAATGGCTGAGGTGTGGAGTCATAAGTACCAAATGTACCGACAGTGAGTTGTTGACGAGAGACTGTGGATGTGATATAAGGATGAAAAAGAACAGTAGCAAATAGTGAGAGACACAGAGAGAGAAAGATTGAGTGACAGACAGGCTGACGATGTGCTGATGCAGTAACGAATTTTCAGCTGTAACTTATGTGCCTAATGTTTAACCAATTCCGTCCACTCCGGCGTTTTATTGTTAAATGTATAAGAGTTGATCTCTTGCAAATTATATTTTGCTCTGGTACTGGTTACCCTAAAGAGCAAATTTTCGAGTGAATATTTAGCTAGCTGACCTGCGCAAAGAGTTTCGTGTATTTACGCAAATACTTATAGGCGAATTAACAATCTGTTGATGTTCATAATAGGGCGATTCACAATAGTGCGCCTTCAACAGTTTCCAACGCATTGAAAAATCACAACGCGGTAAATCTGTCGACCCTTTCGAAACACGCATCGTGTCGACAGACTTCGCTCATTGTGATTGGCCAACGCCTTGCAGACTCTTGGAGGCGCATCATTGTGAAACGCCCGTATTATGTCGGGAATCGCTTAGCTTGTCTCTGCGTCCCATCCTCCGTTCAGCAAAAACCATGTCGTTACGGTTCTGATCCCCAGTCGGTGGAATCTGACGACTTTCGTTTCACTTTTGTGATTTGTCTCATTTTTTTTCGAATTGCAAGTGTGATGGAAAACTCACTTTAATGTTATTAACATTTTTTTTCTATTTAACGTGTGACATGTGAAATAAAGATACATATTGGAAGTGAAAAGAGACATCTTATTTTGTTGACTGCGAAGGGTATGTTGTACACGCTAACATCAAGACGATATGGTTTTGTGTCATGTCAGATCAAGAAACAAAATCTCAACGGATTCAAGGCCAGCGGCAAAATCACTGGTCAACATTTGAAGCTCAGTGCATGTACCATGTACATACATGTAAACAGGAACACCCACGCACACACTCATTACACATCGCAAATAATCTCATGTGTCTCTTTATTACTCATATTACATTGCTTACGCGAGTGCATTGATCCTATTAGAGTAATTAGAGGCGAGAGCGATCCTTGTGTATTAATTCGTTTCAGTTTTCCCTCGATTGTTGCAAAATTTGTTGGATATTGTTATCAACTCTACACTCTGACGCTGGGATTAATAATTGGCCATAGAGGGCGCTGTGCCGAGTTCACCATGTCCCTTCATTGGGTGATTTACAAAGCAAAAAATGTTTTATACCTTTCAAAATTTGACCGAACCGATGGCAGACTTTGACACATTTGGTGGCGGCAAACATACCAGTCCTTTTTACCCGTTTTGAGTATAAGCGCGTTGTTCTGAGCATGCGTCCATATTTCTGAGCACGCGCAATACATGAACTGTGAAAAAGGACCAGTATGTCTGCTGCCACCAGCGTCCCAAAGTCTCCCATTACAAGAGCTTTCCTCGTGAACATGGATCTTATAGACTGTGGATAATGCCTCTGTGTAAGTGCGTCGGGAGAAAGCAGAATTCCCGCCAAAATAATTTACTTCACATTTCCGCGAACACAGATATTTTCTAGCCGAGTACTAAACAAGCAAGTTCAACAGCGAGGGTTACCAAAAACCCTGAACTAGTTTGCAAAAACATACGTGAATAAATACATTCATGTACATGCAAATGAGCACGTATATTCTACCTTATCAAACTGTAAACATATCTTTATGGGGCATGTTTTATCAACAGGATATCGAATCATACAAGCTTCCTTCCAAACGACGAGAATCAGATGACTTTCCAAGCATACCGGAAATGTTTCTAGTAAAAGAATATTTTGTATGAAACCACTACACCTGTCCTTACAAAATTACATACTTTACAGATCTTTATACATTTTTCATCTGCGCTACTTCTTTTGAGAAATACAGGACACGTTTCAAGTTACTATATATTCCACGCTGCACTACAACGCTCTTGATATACGAAATTTCACAGTAGGCCTATCTACATTTTTAACTGAGAATATAAATATAACCTATTGGTTATCGCTCACGGGAATGATGACTTCATACAACAAAAAAGCAAGGGGAATGGAACAGAGAAACATGTACATCTACACGTAATTAACACAAGTATACACATGGACAGATGTGGCATGCATTTTACATGTAGAACATTACATGTACATTCGCTTCATTCGGTTGACTACGGTACGACATATACATGTAGCGGTACTGTACTTTGTCTTATGGATTCTTGTGTCTTCAAGGACACTTAGCCTTTCCAAGTGGGGTCAGGTGGCGTCGCAGGCGAGTACGCAAAATTGCACACGACATGCACCGTCATGGAAGGCATTTGTGTCACTTCAGAGGCGTGGCGTAAGCGATTATCCCAGCGAAAATGAAGGGAGGGGGGGTTCAACGAGTACTGAAGGTTAGACAAACAAGACTCTGTACGGGTGCGCTGTTGACTTAGGGGTTTACTATTAATAAATGACAGGTACACGTATTCATATTTTGACTTTCTGAACCTTTCTACTCTACTGAGAACCATGTACTGGTCCTATCATAATGAATTCAGAATACGTTTCTGCTACACTGTGTTACAAACACTCTACAGGAAATTTAATACCCCAACAGTTTAATTAATATTTACAACAGTTTTACAACTCCTGTTCCCATTCTGACAGGATTACAAGAAGGAAAAACATGTGAATTTTATTATGTACAGCAGGAACATCTTTGAAAAATTACAGCTATTTAGGTTTGCCAACCTGCTGCGAGAGTTGACAATCTTGTTTCTCACTCTTAAAGAAATGTATTGCCTCACCATGGTACAGTTCCCAATGAGATTATACGATCTAATTCGCTGGAATATTTTACATTTTCAAGTAGGTGTATCAATTAAAACAAAAACAAAAAGTACAAAAAAGACAAAGCGACGAAAAGGCTAGTTTTATTTATTACCAATATTGTGCGCCATTGTTACCAATGTACACACATTGTGTGTGGCACCAGTTGAGTCAAGATTAGTTCTTAGGAATGGCAAAGTAGATTATGACGCCGAGGATTGCCAACAGAATGAGACAGACAATGACGATAATGATCTTCTTGCGCCGAGCTTTGCCCTGTCAGGGAGGGAAATCAGAACGGGGAAATTAAAAGAAATGAGATGGGTCACTGATGACTCCTATCCTGGATGGACGACAATGCTGTGCTACCTATCAACAAACAACCTGTCTGCTGGCTTATGGTGGGGGTAGGGTTGGAAACTCCCTCAACTGCCCCCTCCCTTTAGTGCCAAACCTGGATCCACCCCTAGATGGACAAACCATGCTGCAAGTACAGGGTTTGACGTCGCTGGCATGGAGCACGGATGGGTAATTTTCTCTAAAATGAGTCTCTTCACAACTCTTTGTGTGGGTGCCAACATTCACCAATGATATTTGAGGGTCAGCACAATCTTTCTCTTCATCAAAACTGAGAGGCATTTGTGTGTGATGCCCACAGAGGGGAGGGGCAATACATGTTGATGTCAAGGATGAGCTACAAGACCGCCACCTGTACACTCCAGATGGCTGCTAGAACACATCGGGCAGCGCTCTTGCACTTCTTCAACGTTCAGGCCTTTTCATGTTAAGTAGTTGCTTGTTGCCTAATGGTTTGGAGGGTCTGTAACTCCCGATCACAGGGTCGGGGGTTCGAATCCAGCTGCTAGATACATACTGTGACCTTGGGCCAGTCACTTTACCTGACTTACCTCTCTCAACCCAGAAGTATGACTGAGTACTTCTAAAGGCAGAGAGGGTCAGAGCTTTCGGCTGCATTCTACATAACTGCATTCGAGCTGCGCATTCCCCAGGGAGCCCAGTTGGATTTAGGAATGTTTACAGCCGCCATAAACAGGGATAAAGGTGACGTCAGCGTACCAAAGTGAATGCATAATAAGTGTGTAAAAGGCATTAGCGCGATTAGAATTGTGGGTGATCGAAATCGAATCGAATCCTAGAGGAATTTTTTCTTAAATATTTTCTTTTCTTCAGCTTTTTTTACCTGTTGGAAAAAATCGAAAGCAGAGGGTAGTTGGATTGGGTGTTAAAATTCATGTCATCAATGGATATGCAAATTAATGGTAGCATCAGTCTTCCAGACTGTGACCAGCTTCAGTGAAACAGAAATAAGTCCCAGTGAATCATATTTGGAGATATTTGCATAGTGCTGCAAGAATAGGATGAAACTCCCAAGAACTTGAGCTGAAAGTTTGCACATCAGTATCGCAAAGCAAGTAAACAAGATATGAGATTTTTCCTTATTCTCTTGGAAGTAGCCACTACAGGAGTGGCAATCCTTCACAATTAATCTGCTTAGAAAATAATGAGAAGGGATCGCTCATTTTCAAAGAAAAACGTCCTTGTTATTTAAACAAACAACTGATCATCATATGAAGGAAAGCAAGCCATTCGACACAGACAGCATTGACAGGAATAGATATTTGTGAAGACTGCTCGTTCACAGCCAGGAATAGCTGAAGGCATACAAACGAACCTCATTAGTACGAGGTCCTCTGGACTTTACCGACTACAGGAACCTTGTGGTATTAGGAATTAGAACTAGGAGGCACAAAGGACTGGGACTTACAAATGTCCTTGCTATAAAGAGAAAGTTGCCTTAACAGTGGTCTTGTTATTAGTTAGACAAAAGTTAGACAAAATGCAAGCTTTATTTCTCACTCCTGTCAATTTTTTATGTACAAAAAGGAGCAGTTTCTCTGTATTAAGAAATTCAAATGTATGCACGGTGACAGACACACAGCGGTGTTATGCTAGTTGGCAAATGACCATGATTGAAACAAAATGAAAACAAATCTTGTTGGAACTAAGACGGTAAGCCAACAGCTAAAAAAAATTGCAATGAAAATACAACGCTAATAAACTTATGCAGATCTGATGAAGATCGAAGCATTGGAAGAGTATCTATCCCAAACGGTCAAGCAGTTGGTAAAAATAGCCCAGTTGTAGCTAAGCTCCATCAAACTGGTCATGTGACATGACCCACAGAGACATGAGACAGGTTCAGCACGCATCAATACAAATGGACACCGAAACTGCCAAATCTGCAAATTGGTAGCCCCAGACTTATTCCTCATTTCGATGGAGCTGGTCACAGCCCGTTTCACTCCACATACCCTTCAATGGCATAGCGAATGAGTTGGTGGTGAGCAGGTGGTCAGCTAGTTCTTGGGAACAACGAGATAGATAATGAGGACTATGGCTGCAAGAAGCACTAAGCAGCAGATGGTGATCAAGATTTTTTTCCTTCTTGCTTTGGACTGCAAGGAATCAAGTCGGAAATCTTGGACTGATTAAATATACAAACTTTCCTTTTGAAACTCAAGAAAATGCAAACACGACACTACAGAAACAGTTGGAACACGGATTTGCAAAATTTACTGTAGACTGAAAACTAACGTGTCCAATTTGCTTACACCACGTCACACACAAAAAAACAAACTTCTCACAAAAGGTCCAAACTCTAAAAGAGAAAATAAACAAAAAATCTTTCTATACCCAGGAGGAAAATCCAACATAAGCTAAGAGATTTTGAAAGAAAAATGTGTACAACACGGCCAAAAAAGTGTCAAATGGTCCATTCAGTGTCAGTGCATCAGCAGCCTTTTACCGGGGAAGACAAATTAAAAAGTTTCCAACAGCAGCGACGAGCTCATGCAAGCTGGTTGAGAAGATTTGATCCACACTACTCGAGGCCTGAGTTTTGATCCAACCTTACAGGGTACAGTACGTTGTGGTGTTTAAGGAAGATGGTAAAACAACTTCGTGCATGCAGACAAGCAGAAAGAGAAGGAACTAATGATGCAAAAGCGTAACATGATCAGCAGTCCTCACTACAATTGTTGACACACCCCATAGCGTAATCCTCACTTTGCTCCGAGAAAAACCCATCGAAGTGACTTTGATATTACCAATCAACAGCAAATGCCTGCCAAATTGCTCCAACTCAAAACATTTCTATGTGTACTAAAGATGGGGTGTGCCAAACAATTCTGCACCAGTGTTAGGAAGGCCCACTCAGCGGGTGTGTCAAAGAATCATGCACTGATGATGTTAAGCTAAGCGTCCGGCATGAAGGCAATGTTCACATACTCTAACTACATGTAGAATTTTCTTTCTCTTGTATTCTTTTTCCTCCAAAAGGAGGCTGCTACAACCCAAAATTAAGGCACTAAAGCTCATTAAGGGTTCGTCGTCTGTGCCTCTGTTCATCATCATTAAACTCAAGCTCTTGAATTCTTCAAAATTCAAAAGTAATTTCAACGCATCGGGGGGAGTGGAGCGTGGTGTCTACTTTAAAAGGACCTTGACGCCCTTAGAAAGTAAGATTACAAAGATGTCGCAGTTGATTACTGACAGAGGGGTGGATTTTGAAGAATATGAGGTTTCTTGTAAAAATTCTTCAAGGTAATTCAACCACGGTTTTGAACATGTCTTCCAGCTGAAACTTTTTGGCTTAATTCGGCTTTGCCAAGCAGTGCACAGCAGAAACGTCAACACCGAGTAAATGACATCCAGACATTTCTGAAAGTCTTACCTGATAATCCTTGGCTTTCATAAGCTGTGTGTTGGCTTGCTCGACATGGACTTCTGCCGAGTCAACGTTTGCTTCTATGCTGTCTGCAGGATAAAGAAACAATTGTGAAAAACTGACAGGGTTAGGTTTGAAGAAAAATACACGAGACTTGTTACTGTAAACATAAACTAGTTTGGATGTCCTTTTGGGGTCTGTTTTGAATATGGCCTTGATTTCCAGTCAAAGTTGGACATCTGTACAACTCAGGCCATCAGAAGTAACTAAACTTGGGGCTCAAGGTGAACGTTTCTGTTCTTGCTGGAAGAACATGATTTCTGAGTGGAATTTTTAGCATGATTTTGCACAGCTCACCGATCATGTCCCCTTGTTCATGAACCATCGTTGCCAAGTCTTTGAAGATGGTATTCACATCGACGATGTCGGACTGAAAAGACGTAACAAAGAGACAGTTAAATAGGTGCTTCTAAATGGAAATTGCCGTAACATGACCGGCAAAGACATATCAGGAAGCATACCATGTCTGTAGATCTGGGTATTTCTACTGGCAATTTCATGTGCACCAGATACTGACAGGCTTCAGAGGCGTGCGCGTTTCCGCGCACATCTGTGTCAATTGAGTGCTGACCATCAAAATCACGCAACTGAAAAGTGTCTATCGCTGTGCCTCAAAGGTCAAAGACACAGATAGAAGCTGTGATGGGTAGGCTTGAGAGTGGGGTTTGAACTCCACACATGGAACTCAGGACCAGTGTTTGTCAGACTCTGTTGTATAAGACTTTTAGGGAGACTTACGACGACTGGGTGCGAAAATGTGTTCTCTGTTGATGAAAACTTGGCCTGGTTTCAAACCGGGTTTTGAAGGCAAGAGGGTAAGGGAACGTCTTCAAAGACATAAATGTCAATATTTCACATGATCATTCCAGCTAGAACACTAGTGTCGGAATGTTCACATATAAGTGGGAAGGGTCAACTTTGTGCATGGACCATCCTGAGGCAGCGCTCCAATGGTAATGCTGCATTCTGCAATGAGACGAAGGCATTCCAAAATAATGGAATATTTGAACCTGTTCCGAATTACGATACACTCTCTGAAGGCAGATGTGGATGATAGTTAAGAAGTTGGCAGGAAAGGAGACAACTTGTCTACCTCCAGTTTACGGAGTTGAGCCTCTCTCTCCTTCAAAGCTTCAAAGTCCTCCTGCTGCATTTGACTCTGCTGCATCGCTGGGGGCTGGGAACCACCACTGACGAGGGAACCAGTGAAGTCATGTCATAACGTAGAATAGCATTTGTGAAATCAAATCTTTACCCTTATTTAAAATCTGGCCAGAAAGACATGTATAAAGATACCTTATTAGATGTGGAGAAAGAAAAAATTAACCAATTAAGGCTTTCAGCTCTCATTGGTCAACTTGAATCCATCCATACTTCAGCATTTTACTCAGTAATATCAATTCAATCCATGCAAAGCTTCCGGAAGAGGAATTTTTCAAACTTCCGTTAGGAAATTTCTTAGGAAGGGGACAAGAAAAAATGCAAATAGCATTTCAGCAGCTTACCCTTCCCAATTGATGAGTGCATTTGGTCCCTCATCATAGTCCTCCTGCAAAGACAGCAAAGGATAAAACCAAAACGAAAATCAAGTCCAGGCTGTTTATTTAGATTTTAGTGAAGCCTCTTTTTTTGTACAACCTAAGACTCTTAAATCTTGCCAGGCAGGTCAGGCTCAACTTTACCAAGAAAAATGGAAGTGTACAGTGTTTCTAATGTGACTGACCCCGAGTCCTGAGTTGGCACGGACACGCCTGACCCCCTCACGTTCCTTCTGAGCTGCTTCTCGTTGGACTCTCTGAAATTGGTTGAGGGCTGCAGTGAAGTCGTTGGTGAACCGTTCCCTTTGCAACTTCTGCTGCCTCTACAAGGACAAAGAAATTAACGATGAACGTCTACTGACTGAAGACTCGTTAACTAATTAGAAAGTCCACAATGACGAGTTCAAAGACACGCCTGAGCTGATGTAATAGATTCCACAGATTGCCAGAGTTGTAGTTAAGTCCATGACTAGTCTCTTATCAAGTCTTTTCATGTGACCAGTCACAAGTAATAGAGTGAACAAGGACAAAGGAATGCTTCAGTCACAGTTCATTTGAATAACTTGAGACTGAACGAGTTGGGAATGACTAAAGATAATTGAAAATACTAACTGACGCATTTGCATGGACATAGACTCGACCACAACACTGATGACTGGGCCTCTTACAATCAGATTTGTACATGGTGTAGGAGATTAAACAGTAATTGAGACTGGACTTTTCATTCACTCACTAAAGAGCTAAGCTAGACACGGGAGGATAACTCGTGTTTACCTGGTCTGATGAGGATATGGGAGGCGGTGCATTATTCAACTCCTTCAGCATACGGTTTGTGTCTTTGGCTAATTGGTTGGTGTAATGCTGCAACTCATCACTGATAAAAACAACCCAAAGAATAATCAGGGTTTCTAATGGTTCATGTCAGCAGATTCTGGTCATTGTCATCATAAAAGTTTGAAATTTGTGAAAAAAACGTCATCCATACAGGTTTTCATTCAAGTCATTCTTTTTTCATTTAAATACATGCAAGACTGAATTTTGCCCCAGAAGATCATTTTGTCTTGTGTACTCCACGTCAAGGAAGCAGTTCTGTGGGCTTCATTGCCCATAGGCTGAATTTGAGATTTTGCAGGGGATCCTAAAGATTGACTAATTTAGCTAGTTTGTTCAAATCACAGCATTGAACTCTTCACGACAGGATTATTTTGACCCGACTGCTGGCATGCCCTGAATAGAGGGTTTGTCCAGCAGCAGGCCCCATTGAACCAGCAGCTGCATGGCGAATAGACAGTATGCGTGGTATGCACTAATCCTCACACAATGGTGCAGTAGTAGCAGTCCTCCGTAGCGAGGGCGTTAAACTCTTCTTGATGTGAAGCATTGTGGGATACTAGTTGGTCACAAATGGGCTTTTTGTTTGTGCGCCAAAACTCAAGATCGGTGTTTTCAATATGGGATCCTAACTGTTGCGCTAGCTCTATCCGCAAAGTTTGAATCCAATCGCTGCAGAGAGGGCACTTACAGCTTCCCTCTGACACTCTTGTTGTCATCTGGCGTTCCAAGTCTGGGAATAATCCGCTCAATTTCTTTCACTGAGGGAAGAAACAAGACACAGAGAGGTGTCAAGTACGACAAAAACCCAGGAGAAGTGTGGCCTTGGGGATAGGCTTATGGCTCCTCATATTGGAGGAGGGTGTTCCATGATGAGGTCATGTCAGCTGAACACGAGCTTGATGAGACTCGTTAGCTGAGAGGGGACCAATGTCAAATGACCTGCTGTTGGTGTGTTAGTGTATTTTTAACACTCTGTGTATGGATTTGCCAATATTCAAAGCCAACGTTTGTAAATCATTTTTTTTCCCATAAAAATTTCTGCGAACAAGTTCAGTTGAGGAGCAGAATGGAAGTACTGCAAGTTTGAGAGACCTTCAATATACCTATGAGACACCTGTCTTAGACACCTGTCTTAGTTGTCACAGCCATTATGTCACTCTCTGTTCTGGCAATCACATACCATTCTGGGAGATCTTCTGTATGTTAGAGCCAATGCCCTGCACCAGTCTAGTCTGATCTGCTGCAGAGCTGTTCCTCCCTACGGAAAAATAAGAGCACAAATTTCATCATAGTATACGGTTTGAAACTGTCACTGATGCACTGGCCTGAGTCCAGCAATTATAGATCCAGTCTGGTGGCTCCTGTTACAGTGTTCTCCATGAGGGGTTTTAGCAGGGCGGGCCGCTCTGAAAAAATTTTAGACCGCCCCGCTTAAGTTTTGCAGCCCCACCAAAAGTTTCATCACCCTGCTATTTTTTCTACTGAATTTTCAGTGTTTTCCACCATCTTAACAGTTTATGCACATTTTTGTCTATAAATGCAAAGAAGTTTACCGCACTTTATGGAATGAACATGATGAGTTTGCCATCATTATTTAGCACAACAGTATAGTACTTTCCTGCATTTATGATCAAAGCCAAATGCAGTTAAGTACATAAGCACAAAATTCTCAACTGGTTCCAATCTCCCAGTCGTAGCATTTTCATTTCTTTGCATCAAGAGCCAACACAAATGTTCATGTACATGTATTTGGGTTCATAAACTGTGGAATGTGGGGAATAGACACTAATCATTTGCAGTACAGCTGAAAAACTCGAGTTAAATTTACACAATTTTCACTTTTTAATTCACTGAAATTGTTATTTATGAACCAATTTTTTCCAAATCAAGAAATTCTTAATTAGAAAATCAGCATGCTACAATGGCTCTGGCTGAAAATGGATATTTTGCACAGTTACTTTTTATATGAAAAAAATTGTTACTATTCGGAACTGGTTAAAGAGATTCAGAACTAGAAAATGTGTTGTCACTTTTAACGATCCCGTAAGTCCAAATTAAAAGCCCAGCTTTTGAAAGCAATTTTGTAGTTTTTCAAATACACGAGGTGGACAACTGACCATATTTCACCAGAATTATAGGACTTTGTCACTGGAATTTGACCATGGAGTTATTTTTGAAATCCAGAATTAGGGAAGCGACTGTACATCATCCACTCGCGCTGTGTCCTTGTACGTACATAAACCCCCAAACCATCCACTTGATGGGGAGTTCCGATGATTAAAAAAAGAAAATGCCCCAGAAAAAAAATCAAGTTTTGAAGACCTCTCAGTAACAATCTTGCCTTCATTTCAAACTGTTACCACAAGCAAATTTGATTCAAGGAGTCACAAGAAAATGCCAAGAAAATGCACCTTTAATGTTAAATGATTTGATACCTTATTTCATTACCACATCAGGTCAAACACAGTGTTAAACACAGAGAAAAAAAAAAAACAGAAAAAAAAACTGAAAGAAAAACAATAGCTATTTCGGCCAGAGACCAACACAGCTAACTATTCAAATACAATGATCGGTGCTACACAACATACTAAACTACAGAACATTTCAACAAGTCTGAGTACAAGTACAAAAGAAGGTATCTAATGCAAAGGCATGTTCTAAAAACACCTGTTTCCTAAATCAATAAGTGGTATTTTTTTTTCTTCTCCCAAAGCAACAGCTATTTGGTACCAGCGCCTACAAAACTTAGTCATGATGTTTAAATGAAATAAACTCATCACTGATCCATTATCACAGTTGGATGATGGATTTACCTGCAGAGCCTGAGGTGTAAGTTGAGAAACCCTCGTCTCTGTACTCTCCCCCACCAAAGTCTCCACGGCCAAATGACATCCTTCCGCTCTGCTTTGATTCAAGATACACTACTCTCAGCTGCCTGAGCAGTTCACGGTGTTGATGTGGTGGGTGGGCAAGTCGGCTGTATGGCCTTGCTCGTGGTCAGTGACTTTTAATAACAGTTCTGACTCTTGAATAGCTACTGTAAGTGATGCATAGTGGTAATAAACGAGTCAAACCTGTTGGATGGAATGACAGCAATTTTAAAAATCAATAGACTTGATGGAATAAAGGAACCAGCCTAAAAAGTTTGATGAAAAAATTTCCCAGAGAAATGTAAATGCAGATCTTGTGAAGTCCACTTTTAGTTTCGAAAATACTTGATTAGCAACCACGGAAAAAGTACTATAAGTAAAGAATTCAATTTTCATGTTTAACTTAGATACAAATCTACATATACGGTGACTACGGTCACAAACATTAAAAATACATGTGTAACAACTAAACCCACAAAAATATATTAACCCTAACAGTCCCAAATCCTCTGATTTTAATATGATTTTATATTCACCCCAGGGGGTTAGAGTTAAACCTGAGATGTCACTACATGTACTTTTGAAATGTCGTATCATTCATTATGCAATGATATGGTATCCATTGTTGGTGCCTAACAGTGTACATGTACATTGCATAATTACACACTTTCAATTTCTACCTTGAACCGAGTCGGTGTTTGACTGTGGGCCAAGCTACATAAACACAACATGGTCTATTGCAAGCGTGCAATACAGCATGCTCTGTGTGCAATCATGCAATGTACATGTAGGTGTTCTGCTGATGATGTCATCAAATCAGCCTGGGAGCGCGAATGGACAATTGGGGATTTTTTGTGGGCGGGCAAACACAGGATCTTTTCATTCATTTTGGGATCACGATTCACGGGGTAAACATTGAATTTATAATGTTTTTGAAATGGTTACCTATTTATTGCTATTTTAAAATACTTTACGTGAACTAAATGATTTCTGTTTCTGTTAACCTTTAACAAGCAATTGCATGTGTGTATGGTAGAGTCATGACAGTTGTCATGCAAATCATGTTAACAATTTTAACAGTCATGACAGTTGTAATGCAAATCATGTTAACAATTTTAACAGTCATGACAGTTGTAATGCAAATCATGTTAACAATTTTAACAGTCATGACAGTTGTAATGCAAATCATGTTAACAATTTTAAATCTACCTGAAGACTTGTTGAAAAAAACATGATTATTTCACTCTTTAGGTGCATATGAATTAGTTTTAATCATTATTCTCTTTTCTTAAAATGCTCTCCCCATAACTGTATTAAGAATAAAGGAGAGAAGGCATGAGGGATAAAATGCAAGCATCCTGAAGTTAAGTTGAGAAATAAATTACAATGTAAGCATTCAAGTTTAAATCACATACATCTACCTGCTCTGAACCTGTACAAAATATGGCATTAGGGATTAACATTACAGAGCATAAAACTGACCAACTAAAACTAGTCTAAAAAGAAACCAGACAGACAGATAGATGCTATTTATTAAACTGCAAACAACCATGACAAAATAAACATGAACATTGATGCAGAGCAGACCAGATGTTGAGAAATCTCTGTACTGATTATTGACAGGGGTGTGAGTGGACACTTAAAAGTAAAGTTGAAAACAGCTGGCAAATAGCTGAAATGTAAAAAGTTCTCATACTTTTGCACAGACCAGATGTACAAAAAAGCTGAAATTCAGGGTCAACATCTGAACAAAAAAGCTGAAATCAGATAAAAAGCTGATTACTCACATCCTTGTACTGAACATACGAACATACATATTCTTGTATGCAAGTAAACATTTGAAACAGATCATGAACTCGACAACTCACTACAAAGAGACGAATGAGGCTGAGTCATACAAGCGCAAAGCAACGTCATGCACTAACTACGCAACTTACGCACGTTATCGTGCCATTCGTGGTTAATACTACCAACGTCATGCTCAACAACGTAATAAATCACCTCCTGTCCCATTTATCGAATGAATATTGAACGGATATGCATAAGCGATTTTTGTTCCAAACGTACCTCAGACAAATGATAGAATCCTCGACCGAAAAATACGGTATTTGCCCAAGAAAACTTACCGAATTAAGAGGGCGTCTACATGTATTTCGAGTTACGATATGTCATCATTATCCACCGCCTTGTTAATCATTAACAATAGAGGGCCTCAAGAGTGACCTCTTGAGGGCGGTATATCAAAAGAAGCGTGTGCGTTTTCAAATACTCAACTTCGTCTCCGTCTCAGGCTTCATGTAGGAAACCAATCCTCGATTGTGGGCCTGAAGCGTTTAAATTAAATTGAAATACTGTAATGTTTGGCTCTTTTGCATCTTACTTGATGTTTTGTGGCACTATCAGATTGCTATTGCGCTTACACATAGCATGGAACAAAAACGATTTATGTAAGAATCGTGGCAAACCACACGAAGAAATGTTAAAAAAATAAAAAAGATAAAAAATATAAAATTGTATTCAATTGGCCTTCCTGGCAAAAATAATAACAGATAAATAAAAAAGCACAAGATCGAGCAGATACAATGACCAACATTCACTTATTTCCCCTTAATTAATATTATTGCTGAGGTATTTTTATGAGAAAGTATGCGGAGGGCATTGGTCAAGTTCAGGGTAACTTTTTGGGTCGCCTATGTGGGACGTGAGATACGCCTTATTTGTTCCGAACGGCTGCTGCAAAGGCACAGTATCCCTTAGAAAATATTGTCCATATCTTCGAGGAAATTAATATACAGCCCCTCGAATCGAAGCATCAACCGCTTCTAGAAATCCCGTCTCAGCATATTATGTGAGGCCATGCACGTTTAATAAATATTACAAAGATAATGAAGTATTACCCACTATCATAGTTTAGATAACAGTTACTGTGGCCTTGAGTAGACCTCACGAAAAAGGTTCATTAAGCCAGCGATTGTTTGATAATCGGTAACCGATACCATCTCGAGACAATGTTTGCAGTTGACCAGAGCGTTGGTACCCGCGTCGAGGGGGTACTCTCAAAGTTCCCCATTTAGAAACGTTGATAATCATTTGGTTCCAACAAAAATGTTTAGGCCTATATGTTGCTTCCCGTAAGACGTACTAGCTTCGCACAACTTTCAATCTGTCTGATGAGGATCATTTTCCGGAGATCTTCTTGAGGCCGGAATTGCGTCAGTGGACCCGCCGAATGGTGCAGCATCGATGCAGTGGACGTAATGCCGTCCATGTCAGCGCTATTGTGCTGGTGGGTGTGGGTGGCTGGTTTGCTGGCTCTGATTGGCCAGTCTTCCCTGGGTGAGCAACCCTTTTAGAAATTAGTGTCCAATAACGATAGGATTGTCGTGCTGTTAATATAAAAAGAGAAGGAAACGAACTGGATGTGTGACATTAAATCCAATCCTTAAGCTTGTGTTTTTTTCCTGGCAGTTGCGCTCAGGTAATGAGAGTCTTACGCCAGTTTTCATAACATTACGATGTAGTACGATCAGGGAGTCCACCTGGTGGGCTAGACTTTTAGCGCCCCTACTTCACAATGCATTTAAACATAAAGGGAACACCGAAAGTATTAATACATCTCTAGCCGACAAGCAAGACAGGCGGGGGCGGGGCCTAACGATCTGAGAGAAGGTTGCTGCTTGGTTTGTAATGTCTATATCGGCATACATCTCTGTCGTTAACAAACACCCCCTGGTCATGTACCTACAACTGTTAACGAGGGGGTCTGTACTTACAAAGCCTCTTATTATCGGGAGGTAATGAAGAAGTTGATCGTTCGCATTAGTAACCCGAATTAAAATACGTGCACCCGACGGTTATCATTTTATCTGATCGCTTTACTCATTTTGACGGCTGCATAAATCGGCACATTTTTCTTCCTGCATTTCACACTAATTGCCATCATCTGGCATTCGATGTTTTAGTATTCAACTTTTGAAATGATTATTACTTTGATCAGCTTTTTCATCTGATCAGTTTCTATATTGGCTTGTTTTCCTTCTAGCAGCGATCCCGTGTAACTCCACTGAGTCTCTCAGTAACGTCGCCTGCCACACAAACCAAACCAACGGCTTGGAGTACGTCGTTTGCGAGTGCTTGCCGGGTTATGAGCTTCAAGGACCGACGTCAGTGACTGTGTGTCTCGAGACGGAGCAGGGCTGGGGCGAGACAGTTCCAAACTGCACAGGTAGGTAGATTGCTGCCCTCAGACACATGATGTCGCCCCCCAAATAATCCTTCTTGTTCGACCTAAGAATTAACCGTGGGATGATCACAGTTGAGGAAGTTTAGGTAATACCTAAAGTTTGCAAATCTCCTTTACCAAGTTAAAGCAAGCAAGATAGCTGTGTCCTGCTATGAACAATCAAATCACTGGAGACTCACTCTTTAATTTTTATCAACACCAACAGACGGGATAAAATCAGTGGCTTATCTAACGCACTCTGTCACTAATGTCATAGCAATCCGATGTCTGGCACCCGACTCGCCTGCAGGGAGCATTGTCACTCCTGCGCACGATAGTTACATCTCGGGGGACACCATCACCTACACCTGCCTTGAAGGATTCAGTGGAGATGAAGACCCCACGCGGCGATGCCTGCCTGACGGAACATGGTCAGAGACGAACTTCGGCTGCCTGCGTGAGTGACGAATTCAAATGACTTTACTTTTGAAGTGTTTCACTGCAACACCATTGAGACGCTTTTAACTTGGCTACTTCGTGCCATTAATATTTATTTTATGTGTTCACACTGTGATTTTTGCTCCTTGTTCTACAACCGTGTAGGCCCAGGCTGCGTCATAATGTCGAAATGTTTTTATCTGCAACATTTAATTGTTAGAAGAACAGGTGAAAATGCATAAATGTTAAAATCGCAGCCGTTACGTCGTCCACTAGTTCGTCAAGCATAAAGCAATACTTCTGATGACAAGTCCTTTTTTCTTTTGTTAATTCATCACAAACGCAAGCTTGTCCGGCTCGCGGTCTCTGGTACAATTGGCAAAGCTGTTTCATAGAGGTCAAGCATGGTGTGTCATGGAGCGAAGCCAAATTACGCTGCGAGGCAAAAGGCTTCTCGTTAGCCAAGGTTGAGAACAGCGATGCTCAGACGTTTCTACACAACTCCCAAATAGAAAAGAGGGAACACTGGACTGGTGGGAAGGAAGCCAGGAATTGGATCTGGGAAAAGAGTAGGTCAAAACCAATCATTTTCGTAAATGAAATCTCGCAGCGGCGGTGATCTTAGTGAAGTTAGAAACGGAACGTCTTATTTCGTGAAGACTCCGAGGTGGATTTGCGTCTGGGATTGCCTGGGACTGTTATCTTCTACGTATTTCACTTTACACCACCTTTTCCCACAATTTGATACACTCCTTTGCATAATTGTCTTGTTGACAAAGAGTCATGACAGACTATATTGAATGTGATCAGTCAAAAATCTACTGGTGATCCTATCCCACATGTATTTGCCCCCCAAGGGTGTTGACACCTATGCGTAATGAGTATTCGTTTTTTCTTGACTGGTGTCAGCATTGCCTTATATCTGTGGACTACCTCACGATGCTCACCATGGACATGACATGTTTTTATCATTCCTTTGGGCTTCAGGTCAGACACCAATCGAATATTTCGTCTGGGCAGACGGGGAACCGACCAATGTCGATACCGAGGAGTGTCTTCATCTGAGCGCGCTGCCAGGTCACAGTGACTATGAGTGGAATGACAACAACTGTCAAAAGACTATTGACAATAGCAGAATGATGTATTCGATTTGTCAGTTTGGTAAGGCACTGACATCAACAAGCAACTCGTTTTTATATCACAGAATGAGATAACGATGGAAGGGCATTTCAAGTAGCCGTTCATGTATTGAAATATCTTAAATCACTGAGAATCCTTTGAGATCATTGAGATCCGAAGATGTACATGGGGATATTCGGACTCCAAGAGCCCATGATCGTTCCCACTGGTGTTTATGACAAACGTTGGGGTTACCATGTTGGACAGTCACCGTAAACAGTCGCGTGGCGACCTTTTCTTTTACTCCATTTTCATCATTTGCACAAATGATTTAGTCACGTTGTAGTTAAAGAACCGCTAATGAAAGATTGAAGATTGCCATAAGGTAATTAGGGTCCGTCTTTTCTCTACAGATCAACCATGTCCCAACCTTCTTAATTTTTGGTCTTACGACAAGTACTGCATCGAATTTAACCAGGTCTCTCGCTCCTGGTATGGCGCTAGAGATTATTGCAAATTCTATAATAGATGGCTGGTGGAAGTCACAGATCAAGATATGCAGAATTTTCTTAGAAACACCTTGATAAGTTCATACAGTGGTTACTACACACACTGGTGGATTGGCGGGACTGTCAGTGCATCTCGTGCATGGAGGTGGACAGACGGTGAGTAGAAGAGTAAAGAAGTGTTTGTTACTAGAAAAAAAGGGCTCAAGTTAGTCACCTCTTAATTGCCTCACCCAAATTTCTTGTATTTTGTTTTGAACTGCGTCTGCTCTCTTCCACATAGCAAAGTTTGCTTTATTCCCACCGAAGCATACTTTCGTTTTGTTTCTAGGTGAATTGGTACACGACAGTTTTTGGAAGGGTGGGTATCCGGACTGCGATCCTTCGTTTTCAGCTGGGGAGGATGAAAAATGTATTCAGCTTAATCTCGGTGAGCAGCAGATGAACAACTGGCAGTGTACATCCTGCGAGAAGCAGCAGAGACATTACATCTGTCGCACAGGTCAGGAAGTCACATCTGTTTTTGTGTGTGTTCTTGTGCTATCACGTGCTTAAAGTGGCTGTTGCCATGGTTCAGTTGTCTGCCTTTGAATCACTAGGTCATTGGTGTCTCACTGCCCTGTCAGGTCCCCATATTGGCGAGTAATTGTTGTCAAATAGCTGTTCATTATGGTAATACATGTACATGGGCGGTTTCGCTTATTGCCTGTTCAGAGCCGTCACATTGCTAGTTTACTGTCCGACGCGTCGAAAAGTAAAAATCGTCTTTCCGAATATGATTTATAGATTCCAAGAATATCACAACCTGCGGAGATCCAGGCGTGCCTCTACACGGCACGCGGCATGGGACCGACAGTTTCAGAACCAGCGATACCTTTCAATTTACGTGCGATGAAGGGTACAAACTCGCTGGGTCCGAGTTTAGAGAATGTCTGGCCAACGGTACTTGGAGTGGCTCGCCAACTACATGCAACGGTAAGCCCTCCATGACAGGACGAACTTTTAAAATATCTCATAATCTGCATAATGTCGCAGATTCTTTAATTATAATTATTCCTTTGACGAATTTTTGAGTGTTTGGTAAGAAGGTTTTTGACTTATTCTCAAGACCCATATGTTCTTTCAGAACTAAATGAATCCTACGTTCGAATACTGGATTAATCCGCTGAACAATAAATACGATACAGAGCTAAATTATCCACCTTTCCTCACTCCACCCTAATTTCAGGTTCGAATCCAGAAAACCTTTTTACCCCTCAATGACCTCATCGTGCCGATTTTTCTGTGATTTGCCTTGACCTTGGGATTCATTTATCCCAACAGTAATCTCGTGTGGAGAACCGGCGGCAATAGAGGGCGGTAATGTGACGGTGTTGTCGACCGAATACCGAGGCGTGGCTATTTTGTCCTGCATGGAAGGATATGAGATGGAGGGTGACCACAGGATATTTTGCCTGAGCAATGGTTCATGGACTCGAGGCGATTCCATCTGCAGACGTAATGATGCAATGTCCTTGGTGTAAAAATAATGTCTTGTTTTGAAATACACGTACATGTACTAGGTTCCCAGAAACCTAATCATCTGTTTGCTCGTGGACACCCAACGTAAGTTGCTGGACGGTACCCTCTTCATTAGCAATTTACTTTGAATGGGTGCCTTTTTGAAGGTCTGTGCAAGGCCCAAATGAACCCTCTCAAATGAATGGTAAAGATGATGTTCAGTTCTGCCCTTATGCCCTTTTATTCCAGATGTGGCACACACTACACAGTCTATTCTTACCTCTAAGTACTCGACCAGCTCCGTGTATCAGGAAGAAAGCACCCTTAGTCTTACACAGGAAACAAATGCCACCACAGAACCGAAATTAACCACGAGAGATGCTGAACACAGTGTTCCGACGCTAACTGCCGAGGTCACATCTCCAAACGGCGCTTTGACAGATTCAACTAACGGCCAGTTTACCCCTAGTTCTGAATTTAGCTCATCCACAACATCGGCAAACACAAAATTGGCTAATGACAAACCTTCGTCAGCTCCGTCGAAAGGTGACGAGACTGTGGGTAAGCATACTTTTTAAGTTTAGTGTTTGCAATGTTTAGACTGACTTGTTAATTATCATAACGCTAATGGAATAACTAAAACTCACTGGTTCCCGTTTCCTTTCCGTTGTGCAGTGCTTATCATAGTTATCTGTTTACCAACGTTCCTGATTCTTCTTGCGAGTGTTGTTCTCCTCGTCTTCTTCTGCAAAAACAAACGGTAACATTTCCTCGTCCAAGAACCTGACTACATTAGTACTGGTTTCAACCATTCATGTAAACGTATCTCGGCCATACATTAATTATGGTTTTGTTTCATTACCTATTTCGAACACCTTCAGCTTTGCGACTAAGATCCACCCAATCAAAGAAGACCAAGTGATTACCCCCCATCTCAGTGATGACGTCATGAAGAACCAGCAAGCGCAAGAAGACGCAGAGTCGACTCGATATAAGACCGCTGTGTCTCGGTCCATCTCGCCACCGAGAGGGGGTGTCCCATCGATGACAGCTCGACCCCTCCATTTTCAAAATAATAATAACAACACAAGTGCAACGCCATCTACGATGATACTAAAGACAAAGGGTGGGAGTAATGCGGGACGCGGTGCAGTCCCGGTAGCCTGGGATGAAAAAGGCTATCAAGGTTTTGAAGTAGACTATATCTAGACGAGATTGCTTCAAAAGCAGATCGAATGATAAACAGATTCGAATCATTCAAAATCGGCGAGACGGCGAGACGCTGTTTAAAACTGTTTTGTGCACAATGCATGACAGGTTCATTTGTACATTTTTGTTGATATAAGGACTTGTTGATCAAAACACTGCATTCGTGTGACTCCTTTTTTTGAAAATATCTATCTCACGTTGTTTCTACATTAAGTTAGCAGTCTTATAAAACCATTTTAATTAAAAAGTAATTGTTTACGTTCTCTTTACAACATTGAGTCGTTGAAGCGGTGAACGTTCATAAATAAATATGATATCCTTGAAACATATGGCACAGTCAATGTAGGCGGGGTGGTGTGAATCGTGCAGGTGGTACAGTCAGGATGCCGTATCGGCAAAGCCATGTGGAAATTAATGGAATCCACACACAAGTATTAATTGGGACTTTGAACTTTAAAAAACGCACAGATTGTACATCTGGTTGGTAGTGGGTTAGATTGTACATACATACGATATTCACAGTAGTGACGGTAGCAGCACTGTGCTGTCATTATTTCCTACTGCGTTGCTGGTAAGTTGTAGGTTTCAACTGATTAAACGACATGTTGGAAGATGGCTTTTTTGTTTGGGATTGGTGTAGCGTTTGTCTAAGAAATGTAGGCTGAGAAAAAGTCCTTTTCTAAGAGTGTTTTATTGGAAGTTTTAAACAACTACAACCCTCGGAAAACATGACATCTACTCAGAATGGAGCTGTGTTGAGCATTGTTAAAAATCTGTCGAACCCTGAAAGCGTGTACTTCATTATAATTTAATTAAGTAATGTAAGTCGTCCCAGGGCATGCATAGTTTGTGTATATGGTTCTGTGTCCTTCATGTAATGTACATGTAGATAATTATATTATGCCTGGCTGAAGATTTACTGTACCGGTGTGTTTATGTGCTAAAAGAGCACGCGGTTTATCTCTTATACTTTGCAGAAATTTGATAGAATTCGAAAAGTAAATGTAAACATGTGGCCAAAATATACAGTGAGTTGAAGTCAGTATGGTTGGCGTGGGGATGACATTTGGGACAGAATCGATGGACGGCTCTGACAGTTGGAAAGCGAACTGAGGTCCAGAGTACCTTCCTTATACTGGTGAATGTTTCTGGAAAATGGCCATGGATGCAAAACGATTTCTGGAGTGAGACTTGACTGATTGGGGGGGGTAATAGTGGGAACAATTCCGCGTAATGGTAATTATTTGTTCGGTTAAAAAGGTGCAGATAGAGGACCAACCATGACCGACAGAGACAGGAGTGACCCTACCGAGCCTTTGAACCCAAACGCAGGAGAGCAGCCGCCAAGTTACAGCTCCACCTACCCGTCCCCTCCACCTGTGGGGGCAAACCCTGTCTACTTACCGGCCAGTCCACCGGGCTACAGCGACGTGTTCCAGACAGGGGAAAAGCAGCCGATTAACGCGCCGCCAATAAGCCAGCCCCACAGTGTTCCTGGCCCGGCTCCAGTACCGGGGCCGCCTCCCTTGACAACGGGCAACTATCAGGCTGGACAAACCACGATCATCGCAACTCAGACGAGTGAGTAGAACTTCGAAAATCTCATTACCCATTCCTATGCTTCTTTGTTGAATATAAAAATATGAATAAGATGCATTATACGCATTTCTAATACTATATAGTCCTCTTTCCCGGCACTGATATTAAATCCTCTGCCATACATTCATCAATAAAATCACCGATTCTGCTTTATTATTCCTTTGTCAGTTTTTAGCGCGTTCCCCATGATGGTAACCTGCCCTCAATGCACGCAGCATGTAACAACTCGCGTGCACTATGTCACTGGTCTTCTGACTTGGCTGTTGGCTGTTCTGATGTGCTTATTTGGGTAAGCAATTTTATAAGGACTGACGCCATTTCCAAAATTATGAGCAATGCCTCATGCTATATCCCATTTGAAGTCTTTCATACGGACGAGTATACGGTAGTTCACCTTAAATTAAAAACTGGGACAATTAGTTATCCACGTCATGTAGAATAGTCATTCTTGTTTCCACATGCTTTTCTGTTTACACTACACTTCAAAATGCACCGTAACAAGTGTCAGAATGATACAGTGAGACCGGGACCGTGAATTTCTTGTGATATTTACTTTTTCAGTTTGTTCCTGGGCTGCTGTCTGATTCCATTCTGCTTTGATGGGTGTAAGGACGCCATCCACTCCTGCCCTAACTGCCACTGTGTCCTGGGGACTTACAAACGGATATAATAGAGAAAATGTGGACACTCGGGAAAACCCAAAGAGGACAACAATTTGCTGAGCCCCTCGGGCCAAAATTTAGTAACTGTCTACATTGCAGAAAAAGTAGTGTAAAGGTGTATCTTAAAGCTACATTCTATGGAAGCAATCCTCCTATGTAGTTGCACAGAAAACTCCGTAGGCATTAGAAAGCAGCGTTGTTTACTGAAATGTTTTGTCTCTGGCTGCAATGTCCCTTCATTTCCATTAGAACAACACGTGTTGCTGTCTGTGATGCTCCCGGGTCATTTGCAAGTACCATTGAAACATTTTGCTTTTGGGAATATTGTGGTTATGAAGATGCAGTGGCTCCTACGGAGCCAGAGCCGTCGCATTAACTGTACGAGGACTCATTCTAATCGTTTATAGAAGAAATTTATGACAACAAAAATCAATCAAACATTTACTGCTGTCGTGCTTTGTAGGTTAATGTTTTGTAGAATATATTCTATGCACTCTGCTTTCTGAAAACTCTAACCCTTGTAATGTCCCAAAACTATGTTTTGGTTTTTTTTTTTTTAATTTTTTTCTCTCCTTGGACGTGAAATGTTCTCATTTTGAGGGTTTAAAGTTTGAATCCAGAGACTTGGTGTCGGGGCTGTGGTTTAATAAATGGTTTGATTTGCTTTTCTAAAACTCGACCGTGCACTCCACTATGTAAATCGTCCAATGTATACATACGTCCATGCTAACCATGGTAAATGGTACTGAAATCTTCAACCATGAGAGGGCGCCGTGTGACATCCTTTGGAAACGCTTCCTTTTCTTAGGCCCCCCCCCCAAATCCCCGGTCTCTTTTCAGCATGTGCGTCACCGTAGACCTGCGCATCAGCAAAATACAAAAAAAAAAATTTATTTGGAATTAGGCGGTGTCCAAATGCTGCCAAACTTGCTCAATCAACTTGAATCCTGTTACTGCGTAATTTTAACGTGTTCGTGATGGGTACCGTTGAGTACTATGGACAGTAGTAAAGGAGTCCCTGCAGTTTCTGCACGTTTATTTGGGCACTCTTTTTCAGATGACGTCATCCCTTTATTAAACATTAATTTACATCTGAGAACCAGACAAACGAGGTGGTCCTATGTCCTGTGTACATGTACAAGCTGAAAATGCTTTTAAACAGTAAAAGTGCGGAGGCCAGTCTATTTTAGTGTTCGTCGCGGCCGGAGTTATGTGCGCATGCAGTCGCGATGGACGTCGCGTGTTATCGTATATCATTTTCCAGAAAAAAAGTGAGGGTTAAAAAAAATGCGTCGCTTTACCACTTTGAAGCCAGATCGTGATCAGAAACCAGAGACATTTTTGGGCGGGCCGTATGGAGGGAGTGGAGAGAGACGATTCGTGCATGTGTATAGCGCCCCCATTCTTGGTCACATTGGGGTCGACGTTGGGCTGATGGTAAGTCTTTTATTGAGACCCCATCCGTCCCAAAGTCCTCCAGTGTTTTGTGCGCATACGTGCGCACAAAACAGGTCGGCCTTTTTATCCCCACAAGTGTTGACTTTTTTCTAGTGAACATGAACAAAATAAGACAGATAAGGGACGCAGTTTGCCGCCCTGTGCACTTGACTAGCTGCTGTCTGAACTGTGGTTTAGATACGCCTCACGTTGGTAACCATAACCAAGTTGGAATGGCATGCGTGCCTTAGGCTGCGTGACGTCATTCGACGGAGTACCAGTATGACCTACTTTCCTGAACTCTAGTTCTGAAGCCTTATGTGTAATTGTTTTTGTATTTCGGCTTCGACAATCGACTGGAATAGGCTTAACTTCTGTTAAAAGCCTGTACTGAATTCGAAGTCCTCCGTTGTAATTCTCTCCGTAGTACCTCCGTGCTTCAGTAAGTAAAATAACCACATTATTCTCTATACTGTACTGTACTTCCAATTTCATGTGTACTTGACTCTCGAGCTGCTCAACAAAATTCTCCTTGCTGTTTTTGGTTTTACTTACAGTTTCAGGACATTTGTGGCTCGTGCGTCTCTAAGATATCAGAGGATTTACAAATAGAATGTTTACTGAAATCTAGCTTCTGCCCAACTGCATCATGTTGAAATATCCTTTTGCTCTGAACGGTACACTCTAAAATGTGCTTGGAGCTTAACCGTGACATGTTTATTGTTATGTGTTTAGAAATGCATTAAAATGCTAAGCGGATTTCACAAAGCTACACATGTGGTGTGGAAAAGCGTTTAGCATTCCACAAACGCAATAAATATGTTATGGATTAAGCGTGTGCCAAAAGTGGGTACAAAAAGAGTGTCCAAACTCTAAATGTTGTTTACCAGTGTATAGCTGATTTATCTTCATCGTGGAATGGACGTGTTCCGTAAAGTGCATTTTTACTGTCATTGATCAGAGTATGAAGTCAGTGTTGTTGATGACAGGTGTTCCATATTCCACTCGATTGCTCTACCACTTTGCCTGTCGATTCGTTTACTTTGTTATTTTCCCAAGCTGGACAGAATGGCTACTACCAAGGAGCAAGAAGCCCAGCCACTGCCTTACCCATCCTACCAATCTGGTCCCATGCAGCCTCAGAGCGCCATGCCACCGGCTTCTGGTCCCATACCCCCAACCATACCTGCTCCAATGTCTACTGCAGCACAATCCACCGTCTGCGTGCAATCAACGGGTAATCATTAGATTTTATTCAACTGTGACTGAGCTCTACGTTTTGGAATCATGGATTAATTTCGCTGATATAAAAAGCTACAAGAATGAACCGACTGTGATAATCATTGTTAATTCCCTCCTTCTCCCCTTCTCTCTTCACATTCAGTGATCTTTGGTGAATTTTCCACGGCGATGCAGTGCCCTCATTGTCAGAATACCATCAACACCAGAATCAGCCACCAGGTTGGTCTTCTGACGTGGTTAGTGGCAGGTGGGATTTGCCTTTTTGGGTAAGTAGTTGTAGAAAGACGAATAATAGCCATACACCTTGTTGATCGTAACAGACCTTCACAGGATTGACGATAACATAGCGAGCCACTATGCGCGACCATTAAAGCAAGCAGTGGCGTCAATCTGCGTTGATGAGTGCCGGATGGGGAATGACCGTTGAGGGTCGGGGGGGGGTGCGGGTTGACACTGTCATTCGTGTCTCTCAGACGATCGCTCCCAACAAAATTGGGTGAAGATCTGTAAATTGTTTTGCAGATGTTATGAAATTCTTTGGTACTGTGGACATGTAGTATAACAAAGCAGACCGAAAAATGCATGCTAAGGTATTCTTTTCCTTTTTTTTCGCGATGAAACGTATAACAATATCTCCTGCAGGAGCTATGAAGGTACAATTAAGTCTTCCAATTGGCAGTAATTGAAACGGCCGAGGGTGAATCAGATTATCGAAAAGTCATCCGAATTATGTAAAGGATCACCATTATCAGGACAATAAATCCTGAAATCTGTTCGGCTATCTCCTCTGAGACAAATGTTAATCTGAGTAACCTTTGTACTACTTCTATCTTTTGATTTATTGCATGGGGTAATGAAATAAGAAATTTTAATTTTGCAGGGGGGGTTAATCCTGGCCCATCCCTTATCCTAAATAACTAGAATATACCCCCCATCTCCCAAGCATTTACGCTCACGGTAGCAGGCTCTAAAGGAATCCCAACTACAGCCACACTTTGATTACAATTAAACAAGCCGGAATGAGGAGGGCGGCAAATCAACCAAGCCCTTCCTTTGATTCTGCTAAAGCCATAATAACCACAACATCAATATGCAAAATTGAAAATTGCAACAGCAGTTTCGAGACGAACGCCAAAAGCAAATGCAATTAGTCCCTAAATTGGCTTGGGAAATTCTTCCCTGCCTTTATCACTGATAAATTTCATTTGAAACAGCGAGTCATCTGTGACGGTGTCTTCTTTCATTTTCCTGCAGAGGATTTCTCGGCTGCTGTCTGATTCCTTTCTGCTTGGATTTCTGCCTGGATGTTGTGCACAGCTGTCCTACTTGCAACCACCAGCTTGGAGTATACCAGCGTCTGCATTAAACCATGCGTCCACGTGCATCCCTAACCCAACCACGATCACGAACGACCTGCACGTCTCTCGTATCACAGCGGACCAGGCTTTTTGAATACAACCAAATGACTCATGCAACCTAATCTCCATATCAAGAAGAAATTCATCATGGATAGAAGCATCTTTAAAGAAATCTTTTATGATATCAGTCATTTGAAAATGCCAGTTAGTTTATCGTTTTGAAACATAATTCTAAATCACCCCAAATAGGACTTGAATTCTGAAAATACAAAATTTCACCACCGTATCTACCGCGTTATTTTAGTGCTTTCACATTGTATGAATGGATTATGATTGCCTGATTTCAACAGTTAAACTTACTGGAACAACATGACAAAATGTTTCATCTGAAATGAGCCTAGAATATTGATTAAATATGACCTTTTTCGGACTGATTACACAACATATTGAATGTAAATAAAACAGAATTGAATCAGGTTCATTCTTGAATTTTCACGAATTTGTGCTTGTAAAAAGCATTACATCTCCTTTGTAACGCTAATTGGGTTAATGCTATTATTGAATTGACGAGTGTTGTACTTCGGCTTCATGTGTACAGTAATTTCTACTTTTTTAGCAAAGCTGTTTGCAACTTTGATGTTGAAAGTGTGCCTGTGTAGGCAATGAAAATATCAGGAGAATGAAATTATTGCGCAGTGGTGGGTTGGTTGTAGATTTTGTTCCGATGTTTGTTTAATGTGGACCTTGTGCTCTCTTTCGCCCTAACCTGAGCACTTCGGCTGAAGTATTTGGTTATAATATCAACGACTTTTCATCGGCTGGTTATTTTGTGCACGTATTTGTTACTTTCGGTTTGAATAACTACAGTCCTTGACCTATGAAACTTCATAGTGCCGATCACATGACTGTTGATGCGCATGGTGCTAAATTTGGGCCATTTCTCGGTAAACATGTACTTTGACAAATGTATTTTATGTCCCAGGTAATACTGAAAAGAAAGGTTTATTTTGTCACCGATTTCCTTTGCTTGCGAGAAAGACCTGTTCTCTATCGTCTATCACAAATTCTGGTAAGTTGATATGTCTTTTATTCATTAAAGCTAAACCAGTCCACACCTTGTATACCTCTTCATTTAAAAAAATGAGTTGGACCAATCATAAAATCTCTCACAGTCACAACCGAGGAACAATTGGCAAGTGTTACCCCCACGTTTCAGTTAATACATAATACAATCTTATCTGTTATGCCCTAAATTCATACTTTATTAGAGGCGACAGGAACCATTGTATAGAAACCTTAGAAACGTATCTCTATGTGCTTCCCCTATGTAGACTTGCAGATAGCAGGAAATCAGTAACTCGGGTCGCGAAACGCCCTGAACGTTTCAGCAATTGAGGCCACCCTATCAGAAAGGGCAATAAAAAGAAATGGAACAAACTTCCAAAAACGCCGAAGGCACTGCCCCTTCCCCGGATGAGACCACGCCCATGATTGGTGCTCAACCACCTGCCGTGCCGGTGAACTACGTGCAACCGGCACAGACGACAGTCATCACTGCGCCTTGCGGTAGGTCCCCGTCCAACACTTTAACGGTGCCAGCTGTCATGTTTTTGACTTGGTCACTGACAAATTTGTGAAATGGTTCACAAATGGCTCAGAACTGGTCCATTTGTTCAACAGTACTCTGCATGTAGTTCCTGTCCAGTGAGTAATACTGAACTTTCTCATTTGGTCCCGACCGTGGATACGACACGTTGCACTGTTAGCGGATAAAGGAATTTGACTTATTTTATTTGTTTGACTTTTAAAAAAGAGACAATCAGAAAAGCTGAACTCGTTGTCTTTTTACACAGGGTTTACTGAGTTCCCGACCCAGGTGACCTGTCCAGCTTGTCATTCGACTGTTGTCACCAGGACCGCCTACACTCCCGGAGCATTGACTTGGATCCTCTGTCTTGTCATCTGTTTTTTCTGGTAATGATCTTTATTTTTTGGACTGAAAAAAACGGCTAAGTGTACTTGATTTTGTCGTGATACCAAGGTATCAATAATATTAACATTAAATGTGATAGTACAACTACAACAGAAACGTTGGTACCAGTGGAAAGGTTAACGGGTGTCGTTTCCTGTTCTCTCGATTTTGCTGCAGTGGATTTCTTGGCTGTTGTCTGATCCCTTTCTGCCTCGATTTCTGTCAGGACGTTGTCCATTCCTGCCCAACCTGCAACACTGTCGTTGGGAGGTACAAACGCTTGTGATAGGTTGGGCTGACCGCTGTATCCCACTGCTGCCGCCCAAGACGCCCAGGGCGCCACACACATCACCAACTTTTCCTAGATCAGACAAAATCTTTAACTGCGTTCCTATATTTACCACTAGTGCTGATTCTTGCAAATGTAAGAAATAAATCCAAATGAAAAATATAATGAAATCAAAATAACATTCATCTCTCGAGTAAATTTAATTAAAATCAGTCATAGAAAACACTGAATGACTAAAAAAGCACCCAATATACGACTCATCAGTCGGTTGAGTCATATTACCTGCTTAAAATGACAGTCGACATCTAAAAGTCAATATGAAAAGAAAACGTGGAAATGGTTTACAACAGGAAACAGTAAGCCACAAGTGAAGCGGCACGTGCAGCTGTTGGTGTGGGGGGGGGGCAAACGAATGTGGTTTCAACATGATGCTGGGGAGAAAAAAAAATCCAAAGCCTTACTCACGGTCCCCGAATCCATGCTTTCAGTTTCTGGTTTGTTTTCTCAGTGTGCTGATGCTAATATTTGAGAAATAAATATACCGATTATTTTCTTCCCTACTCAACTGTGAAGTATTCTTTATAAAAAAAATCCGTGGGGGCAATTTCCTCTTCCCCTGCCCCCACGTTGGATAAGGTACTGCACCAGTGTAAGTGGTATTTAAAATTTGTAAAAAGTAATCTCATGGGACGTGAATGACACCGTTATAGCAACCCTACAATAAATAGTCCTTCCAACTGCCTGTGGTCGTGTATCGTGAATAACTGATAAATCATGAAAAAGTAAAAAGAAGGAAAGCAGAGAAACTGTGAAAGCCTTCATCGCTTGTTTACATCATTCACCTCACAAAATAATCACAGGAAGTTCCACAAACATAACGGACGCTTGAGCATCATTAAAATCCAAAGCATGTACAAACAAATCCTTAATACTAAACATGGAACTTTTTTGTGTACTTAGCAGTGGTAAATGTTTGATCTCACAAAACAAGTGGCTAAATTAATTTGTATGCAAATTGCACTGTTAAGCATAATTTGATTCATAATTGAATTAACAAAGGAACCTCTTAATTTTTTTCTGCATTGTCAATTTATTATTTAAATGAGTACAGATTATTTTACATATGATATAGTTTCATATATTACATGGTGAAGTACATCTGGCTTTAAGCCACCAATGCATAAAACCATAAAAAGCTTTTAACTGAAATGGAATGTACCAAAACCTGATTATGTACACTAATCGTTTACAATTAACTAAACGTATTTCAAAGAAAATGTACCTCTTCGAAAGAATACTGCATGTGTTATGAATATCACCTTTAGACGCTTTATTTTTACGTTAACACTTTTCAGTACTGTAGCCGACTTAAGTTCCTTTTATTTCAAACATGTCATTGTTCTTTTTAAAGGAACAACAACAAAATGTACACTTGCTACACTTTTCTTCTGTACGTTCCATTAGCCTATCTGCTGTGAGCTCCTTACGAAGTAAACACTGAATGTGAATTTCAATACATACAAACAGCAATACTTTTTAATCGTTTAAAGTTGAATAAAAATAACCAACGTTTAAGTTCGCCTTTTCCTGTGTTTTGTTTTATTGCCCGTTTGGCATTTTCCATTGACAAATTGCTCTTGCAGCTTTTACTCCAAAATTTAATATATATGACTTTCTTAGCCGAAGAGGGCTCTGGGAGAAAAACGCTACAGAACTTCGAAGTACAAACGTCTACTGTTCGTCTGATTTTTTTTCTCCAATTAACTGAAACTCATTGTTGGTGTTCTTATTGACCTTGATCGGAATCTCTGCGCCGATGAATGTTTCATAGTCTGGCGTCTCTTGTCGTCGCCAGCGTCCCTGCAATGCCAAGCAGATTTTGAAGTTTGTGTGAAATATTCAACATCTTATCTATATTAGAGCAGCATGTGGTGTGGGAATTTCAAGCAGTATTTTTCGAAATCACAGAGTTCACAGCTCACTCTCAAAGTGAAAAATTTTGAATGAAAGGAAAATTACCAATAAGAAAAATAAACTAGGTGGAAAAGTTTAATTCTCAAATGAAGTCCGATTGACAAGTAAACTGACCTCCAAATCTCCAGAATGGTTTGGTTCTGTTTGCGTATCTCCTCCGTGATTGGATAAAGGTATAGGAAGAGCAGACCAATCAGGATGCAGCCACCAGGTATGCATGTGATCATCAGCCGTAAGGCGAATCTGACCTCATCCGTGACCTCACACACCCCGGGCTTGAACTCGACGACTCTATGTAAGAAAATACCGACTGCGACTTTTATTGTTAAAGAAAACAGTAACAGTAGAATATTGATCTTGCATAATGAAAAAGAAAAGATGCTTATAAATACGAAGACCAAATGCTCAAGCTTCATGCAATCAGGTCTTTTACCCAGGATCATATTGTGCGTCAGAGTTTCGGGAAACTGGCAATTACTAATCTCTTTAAGCCCCTTTCGACTTCAAACCAAATTCCCTCGCTGTCAAACTGTCCTTTTTGTACACCTACTATGCTTCACAAAAACCCGTAGTTGTTTTCTTTTCTACTTGTTATGCTCATTTTTATTCTTGCCTCTTCAAACTCCAGAGTACCGAATCATATTGAGTCATGGAGGAAGAAAGATCATGCAGAAAGCTTTGAGATGGGGCATCGTCACTCCGTCCAATTAGCACAGAGGGTCAGTGCTTACAGATCTATCAGTAGGCTGACAACAGTTTTGGAACATGAAGAAAAATACACAGCATGGGCCACTGCGCAAAATTTGAAAACTAACCCGAGCACTATGGTGGTGACTCCGATGCATATTCCTGATCCAAGTTTCACAATCATGATGTAGAATGTGTAGAAGATGGTCTCGTACCCTCTCTTCTTCTTCAGTAAGAAGTCGTCGATAACGTCAGGAACCATACTCCTAGGAAAGGAAGACATAAAAATGAATTTCTTTCCCTTGGCCCGCCTTTTCTGAAAAAAAAAAGCCAACTATCACTCTCTCTCTTTAAGAAGCCTCAAATCATTGAACAGGAAAGCCACATAACCTGCAGCTTACCATGGTATCAGCTGGACGACAGCAACGACATTTCCCATCAATATTGCCATAATGTACTGAACCCACGTGACGCCGTACGGGACGATACCCCAGCTTACAAGCAGCGGAACAGACGGCTAAAATCAATAAAATCAAATAAAAAAACAAAGAATGTATCAGCCCAACGACTTGCCTTAAGCAAAAATACTACTCTCTCCTTGAGTGACTTTTGGCAGTTGGAAAGAACCTTTGTATTCAGTTCAGGTATTCCGCTTCCTCTTTAAACCATGCAAACATTAAAAATTGTATTTCGAACAGTGATGTAAATGAAAAAATCCTGGCACCACAGAACTGGATATTTAGCCGAGGGCTTGAGGGAGTTAGCGCCGATCTGGACTTATTCTGTGCAGAAAAAAATGCTGGGTAATTGTTTAAGGAAACCGTTGGGAATAAAAAGTTAAACCCTTTGAAAAACCAACTTACCAGCAAGCCAATGAACAACGTCAGTTTCTTGCCCAATCTCTTCACACACCTGCGCCATAGCGGCATCAATAAAAATGCTGAGATCTGTAGAGTTAGATTGAATAAATGCCCGCCAGAAAGTAATAAATGGAGGCAAACATTTTGCTATCTGCTGGTAATGAGCAATTCTTGGTTTTTCTCAAAGGGAGGGCACCGTATAGGAAATTATGACTGCAGAGGGAGTGTTTGTCTCACACGGGTCTGGATCTCGATCAGTGATCCCCAGCAACAATGGTTCCCTGCACCCATTAGGCGGGTTCTGGTGCCAGTGAACCTACAAGGGATAACTGAGATTCGATTACAGAGATTTGACTCGAGATTCTTATCCTAATGAAATAAAGTCCAGAGGCATATATGTACTGGGGCAAAGTCATCTGCCCATGCGTGTTGGGTTCAGAGTGTAGATTTCATCATGGCACGCAGTTCCGTGCCATCGTGGGTTTGTAGTACCCTATTGAATAGATGGTCTAGATTAAATACAAATCCATGCTCACCAAAATTATAATGATCGTTGACTGGTAGTTTGTCATTCCAAGGGTGTGAAGAGAGTACAAGACGAAATTCCCCTGCATTGCCTGTTCAATGCCAAACAGAACAGGTACATGTAATAAAGGGATACGGCACTCGGACCTGACAAAGCACATCTGAAGACATCACACTTTCCACTGTAGATTTCGCTGACGCAAGAAATTCATTATCACTTTTTGTATCTCTCGGTGAACTTGTCTATTTTACATGCACGTTTCATTTTTTGAGCTCTATACCGATTTCTAGTGCTTTACATGTGAAACAACGTGTTGTGGCAGTGAAAAAAAATGAGGGCGCTATTCACGTACGTTGACTGCCAAGACGAACGGAATCAGGAAAGCGATGTGTTTGACCCAGGGGCCAAAGGTCAGGACACTCTTCACAGCTTGCCCAAATGACTCCTCGTACTTGGTCTTCCTCTTTGGAGCTGAAAAATTAATAATATACGCGTACACTTTGTCACATGTTTATGAAAAGTAAGTGATGCATGTGGAAATTTGAACCCCTCTGTGAATTAAGCCGCACTTTGGTGGTGCTATACCGCAAAACTTACGGCATACAGTGTCTCTCTTGTATATTTGAAAATGTAGCTCTTGAACTAGATAAACAGTGGGTTAAACTTACATAGAACCTCTTTTGTTCCAAAAATGGCGCACATGGAGCAGATGAAAAAGAGGCTACAGAGGACAGCGGCACCAACTAGATACCCTTGATCCTAAGGATAAAACAAAGCCATGGTTAAGGAAGTAAACAGTTCTGAAAAGGTCATTTACGCAAAACAGTATAAAGGGAGAAGGTCCGAATCAGTTGCTAAAATTTAAGTGTATGCGTGCTGATACAAGGAAACCGCCAAACTTTGGTACGAAACTTTCCATTTTAGATTTGGAAGGTGATTTCGTGGGAGCCTTCTCACTCTCGTCAGAAGCAAGGTTGCCGCGGGTAACGGTTGTGAAGGAAAACACAGAAGACTGTTTTCATAAGTCAGTTCGGGATTTCAGAGAAATTTTGAGAACAAAGCATAAGAGTGGTCAACCTCGACTGCATGGACTACGCACGCGTTCGTTAACGTAAGGATCGCGCAAGGCATAGTGGGACTCAACATATGGCGCGGCTAGATCGTACCGATGGGAACGACCTCACCTTAACTTCCACTTCCTCGGGTGGTATGGTGGCCGTGTCGTTCAAGGAGCGGCACTGGGGAACCTTTTTATTTAGACGTAGCTGGTACAGTGACAAGGACAGACCCATGACGAATTGTCCAAGAAGATTTCCCAACACTTCCGACCCCATTCCTGGAGGGGAAAAGTGTAACGTAGGATATCTTTTTCGATGAGGACAACGAAATCTTAATATTTCGTATCGCGCAATTCACGATACACAGCGCAGGCACTAGCACAGCTAAATTAGACACCTGCATTATGTAAGTAGTTTTCAGTTGTACAAAGACATTTTACCAAAGAGTCTGGAAGACTGACTGAAAAAGCACTGAATGCTGAATCGGTCCAACTCTGTAAGCCAGGTATTGTCAAAATCTCCTAATACAATGTGAAGAAACTATTACAAATGGATCTCCGAATGTCTGTGAAAGTTGTGAGAGGGAAAATAAAGCATGCATTTTGTACAGCTTTCTAAAAAAGGAGACGAGAATTTAAAAAAATCTCTAAACATGGCATACGCCGCCAAAAAACAAAAGACAACTTCACTGCAGGTGAGGAAGGCAGTGCTTTTTTTGCTTAGTGCGTCTTGAGAACGCCAAGACTTAGTTTCTGGACCCGCGCCAAACCTTTTGTTCACCGCATTCTTGTGGGTTTCACAGCTGCGCGTGCTTGCAGGAAGAAGACGAGTAGTAGACTGTACGACTTAACGAAGTACTTCGCCATTGCACGCCATAACTCACTGTGCGTGTGGTTGTACATGACTGGCCGCTATATCACGCATCCTCAAAGTTTTCCACATGAACGGCATCTTGGGAACTCCTGCCTCTAAAGGGCACCAAGTTAAACCGATGCAGAGTTGTTGCTGGCACTTTTTGTGAAAAGATGTGAAACCTGTGGTGTGTTTTATTTCGACTAGAATGAGAGAAGTGAGCTCTCTGGATGTGTCACTGGAGACTGCAAACAATTGCCATAACAAAATTGACGACGAAAAGCCATACGCTGTCTGCCATCACACAACAGGCAAAAGTGATTTACCAATTGGATATGTCGTCGATAATCAGTACTTACGGAATGCTGTCGCCTTGTCTCGCTCTGCTTGGTTATCGGTTAGGCAAAGTGTGAGTGTGGCAAAAGGCATCTGATAAAACTAAATGAGAAGAAAATGATGTTTTGACCATGAGATTCTGGTAAGTAATTTAGTTTATAATTATCCGGTGTGAACAACGCGATTATTCCATTTTGGCATGATTGAGGGGGAAATATTTTGGACAAAGTTTTGGGAACTTTAGCCAGCCTCCTCATTCTTGTCTATTTGCAAACTGATTTGTGTTACTATGGCCTTTTTTTAATCAGGGATAATGGATACCCTACTCAATATACCAAGCCGGCAGATCAATTATTGCCCATAGGCCATACCGTGAGGAATGTTTGGAAGAAGCAGTAGAAGACAAGGTACCAGGCAAGTTTCAGGTAAGGTTTGGTAGTCTCAGGAGTAATAAAGAAACACATGAAGCAGGCGATGGCAGGGAAAGTTGCCACGAGCATCCTGTGGATTAGTTAAAAAAACAAACCGGTTTTATTACAGCAAAGGCAAGGAGCAGCCTTTGTCGCCCAAGCTTCAGTTAAGGGCTACTTTTACTCAAGTATGTATCTTAAAAGTGTTAATGCAGGAATGAAGTATAAATTAAAATGACACTTTGATAAATTTGAGACATTGTCGGTAGTTGGCCTACTCCCGTTTAGCCGCTTTGAACCGTTGTGTTATACCCTATACCGCCGCAAGGTACAAGACAAAGATTAGCTCAACAAGGCCAACCATGACTGTATGCGGATGTAGATGCTGACTTAGTCTTGATGTTCTTGATTGAAAACCTTCGGATTATTCCTTTGATATTTACCAAGGCTTCGTCTGTAATCTCTAATGTCTGATACTGGTGACAGACGTACGTCACCTACCATGGTTTGTGCTTGCCAAATCGTCTGGTTTTGGTTCGGAAGACGAGAAAGCCAATTATAGGATCAGTCATAGCGTCCCAAATGCGGCCAATCAGAACGATTGCACTTGTGTAGAATGGTGGAACCTAGAGGGTTGATATTGAGCAAATTTTGCACATAGTTCAATTAATATGGTTTGGTACGATGGTGCCTTTTTCAGGTTATTTCGAGAGTTTGTTTCGTTTTGTCCTCGGAGACAAGCTCTCCAGTTGTGTGGCTTAAACCGGCATTATTAAATAGCACCCTCAGCTGCTACCATATATGGCCCAGAAAACTTAGAAAAGGATGGCCTAGCTTGAACTTTGCGAAGAAAAGTTTGTTTAAATAAGAAGGATGGAGTTTTAAAGTCCAACTTTTTTGGTTTCCAATAAAAATGCCTCAAACACCACTGAGGTACTTGATTAGTGGTTAGTTTTTCCTGTGTTTCAGTATTACTTTTGACCCTTCCTGGAAGTGGTGTCAAAGGTCGTTACAATTGTTATTGATGATCTGTTTGACCTTAGCAGTTTCCAGCAGAAACACATTGATGTAGAATCCGAGTACGGTGTTGGTTAGTTGGTAAGGGATTCCGCCTAGACCATAGAAGACCTTCGACCGCATGGACAGCTTCAGGCCTGGACTTGGTCGATTCCTAATGCGTGGTCTTAGGGGTGTCCTCTGCAGGAAATAAAATTCCAAGCGTTTTCCAGCTAAAAGTCTTCCCACTTCTTTAGTTCTTATCATTACCGTCACCCTGTAGCTGTCCGTTTTCGTTCGAAAAATTTGTCTGGAAATTAATTCACCCGCGAAAACTAAGTGCATTTTTGTACGAGTCCACCTTTTTATGTGTAATCTAGACACTTTAGTCAGTGATTAAGTTCTTCATTCTGTGGTTTTTATCATGCTACATAGCCCCGGCTTTCCACCGCAATACCAACAAATGTGATGACAGATAATACACAACCCTGTTCTATTACTACAGCCTGCATGAATTGCATGAATGTAGGACTACACGCAGTGATAAAAATGTAATCAGACCATCACAGGTCGAGTATTGCAGTTTTTCTAGGTACCTCTGATTTCAAATTGATTGTAACTGCGGTCAACATGAATGTGTTCCACAGATATGTCACACTGAAGCAATCCAAGGTCGAATGCATTGTGTTAAAGCTACTCATGGTAGTCACGAGATCTCGTGCTCCTGTGGTTTGTTTGTTGTTGTAGTGTGATGCACTTACACCATTTGACATTTTTGCAAAAATCATAACTACTTTGGGTAGTGCCTTGTATATTTGGGTGTGCCATTTTGAACCATGTTGAGCTCTGAAAGAAACAGAACTTAGCAAAACTCGTCAATTTGCCACTTTTGGCGTTTTGTGTGTCTGAGTCTCTCATTGATAATGACTGTACTGCATAGATTTGTCCTCAAGTCATATCTCAGTTTCTTCAACGGCAAGCGCAAGCTCGCAGTTATTTACATGAAAGTAGATAGCAAGAGGCCGAAGCTCGTAAGAGCTTACCTATACATAATTAAATTAAAAGATTTCCTCAACATAATACAGACTTCGATACAGATGAAAATAAGAAATGAATTAGTAAGAAGTCTAATTATGACTACCTCGTCACTGTAGTAAGTCTCCTTCATGTCAGTCCCCTTGCCAGCCATGTTTTCAAATTCTATTTCTCCTTTGATTGAAGTTCTTGTCCTGGCCAGCTTAAAATGGCCTAATGGATTTATGCGGAACAGATCATGATAACAGCGTTATAATTAACACACAATCGGACTTTGGCCTAACCACTAGTTGGTCCTGATGCTCCCGCTTAACCACAGTGCCGCACTGGGTTGACTTGTGGTGACTTCACGCAGACTTTGCCTCTGCAATTATAGTCCCACCGGCAGATAAATTTGGGGCATTGAAAAGGGCTAAACACCCCTCAGAGATAAATCTTTGGCAAACGAATACACACTGGTAACTTTGTTGGAAAATGGTGCTTTGTTGAGCGAGCACTTGGAACAATCAAACTGTCCCGTCAAAATTTTCGGTTTGCGAGGTATAAACAACAACTGCGCATGTTGCTATATGAACCCCTTGGAAATGGGCGCGTTTTCTGGGAACAGATTCACATGTGCATGTTTCTGCAAAGAACTACAGTTGACTGATGGAAACCAGGAAGCGTGGTTTGATGGGTGGTTTATATAGAAAACTGACACCTCAGTAGTCAAGCCTGCCTATCAGCCAGGAACCCACATCAAGATCTGGCAGTCAGATCAGTGGGCCATCGCCGGTGGTCGCTGAGGTTTCCTTAAACGTACGAGCTGCTGCGAGTGCGCGGGCGAATGCCCTTTTTTGCTTAGAGTCAAAATGGATGGTTGAAAATGTTTAACACGTGGATATGTTAATTCAACTCGCAACTTGTTTTAGCTCGACGCACTTGCATCGTATAATGATTGTAGTAGACGGTGATATCTACAATGCCTGTAACCACACGGTGCAGGTCATAGGAGGTCAAAATATCAATCGCCAGTCTGTGTTTCTGTTGAAAATGTACGGTAGGTGCAAACAAAATCATAGATTTACATCTTTTCTCGGTTGGGGAAAATAATACACATTGAACCGTTAATATGCGATCTCTTAGTACTGAATCGGACATTTTTCTTTTTTATGTTATCTTACAAGACGAAATCCAAAGTTAAACATGGCAATACATGTTATGAATTGTCTGACCACACGATACTGTGTGCTGTGTATTTTACAAATACTTTTAGTAATACTTATTTTCAAAGTTTTTCATTTACGAAGCGTATTAGACAAGGCATTAAAACTACACTAAATAATATCTGCAGCTGAAGTATCACTTTTGGTATAAATACAGTAACAAGTATTTTTCTCTTCAATTAAATATTAAACCTGAATCTCCGTGTACCGTTCGTTTGCCTCATTTAATCCATCCGGTACAGGGATAAAAAAGTAAGATTCTTATTCTTTTCCAACTGGACAATTAAATGCTCAAATTTTATAAATAGCGGGTGCCCATAACATTTAAGCTCCAAACAGGTACGTAGATTCGGCAGTTTGTTTTCACTTCTTGTTTAACCTCCTTTTGATTTGGAAATATTGCCAAGAGCTCAATTTATGATCATTGTATTATCCGACACCGACGTATGAGTGTAAGCTTATAGCTTGAATTACTTAAATTTTAGTAAGTTTAATATTTGAATCATTTTCGTTAAAATGTGTATGTGATGCCGTTAATTTTCTAGATTACCTAATGTAACTCATAGTTACACTACTTCGACTTCTGCGTTATAACAGATACTCTAATTAATGAAACCTCGAGCCTTTATCTGCTTAACAATTGGCACTCCACTGAAGAAAAACAAAACTTCTCAAAAGCGATACACGCATGAACCAAAATTACCACTGTGCTATTAAATCTATTAAAAACGGTTATTGACTGCATATGAGCCTCTATACATTTACATCGTATTGGCACTGTACAGAAGTACAGTACCCCCTCAACGGCGGTAATGAAAGAGCTCGGGCCGACACCTGAACGCCATTTCCACCTTGTGTCTATACATGATGCGCCTGCCCGCGGGTGTCGACCCTAACGGGCGTCATTGCTGCGTAACAAAGCGCCCTCTCTCGTTCAAACATCAAGCACACAAGGCGTTTGTATTTACAGATTAAAAAAAAAGTATTGAAATTTCTACAGTTGAAATTGTATGGAAATTGCTATATTACGTGCGCCAAGGCCCCAGGGAGCCTTTTTACTGTGTTCGAGAGTATGACGTTCTACTAAATATAGGGAGGTTGTTTGTAAGGTTGGATTACCGGTTATAGATATTGTTGTGATAAATTGGTTGCAATTTCAAACGAAGGAGTAGCGAACCAGAGTTTGTTTTTTTTTAGCTCTAACCGGCTTGCCGTCATCCGGTTATTTGCAGCATTAATGTTCAACGTGACGATCTATTGAGCTTCAATTCAAGATTAATTTCCTATGTACATGTGTACACTGTCTCTGTCTCTGTGTTACCATCCGTCATACTACGCAGGCGTGCCTGCGTGCGCATCCAGCTCTGCCGACGGGTCGACCTAAGGGTCAGCGTCTCCTTCATCCGCTTGCGAAAATTGTCCGAGAGCAGTGCGTAAAGTATAGGGTTGAGGGCGCTATTGAAGAAATAGCACAAATAGGCAAATGGAATGAAAATTTGGAAAGGCTCCGCAAAGCCGTCGCCGCCGAAATTCGAATAAAACGAAAGAACCTGATATGGTAACATACATAATGCGAAGGACAACACGACCACAACCAACAGCTTAATGACTTTCTTGCGCGCTGCGATTGTTTCCTTCTTTTTATTCTTCTTGCTTTTCCTCTCCGGTTTGGATATGGTCAAGGGACGAGACCGAGACAGGTGGTTGTGAGCCCGTCCGGGCTGCAAGGTTTTGACGGGGTGAGGCATGTTGTTGTTGGGCAAATTCTGGCCGTTTTCCCCCGGAGGAATATTGCCCGTGACACCAAGTCTGGTTTCCTGTATCTCCTGTGTGTCTTTTGCCGTCGAGGAGTCCCTACTGTCCTCGAAGTCGACCTGAATACGAATCGGCTTCTCGTGGGCCGCGGGTTTGTAAATGTCACGTGGGTCCACGGGACCGGAGGGGCAGCTGTCTTCGTCTGGCTCGTCCAGGAAGAACGGTCCGATCCTCTGGTTTCCGCTCCCCGCAAGTTTGTTGGACACTTGAGCCTCCATCAGGACTTGGGCTTCTTCCGGGTTACTCAAAGCTGCCTGCTCACCCTTCTTTTTCTGGTCGGCAGGGGGCGCTGCTCCCTGCCGCGGGCGGATCAGGTACCGCACTCTGCCGAACTGCTTAATGAGGCTCCGATTGGAGCGTCCGGGGCTTTTCTCAGAATCAGACGCGACAAGTCTCAATTTACTACTCATCCATAGCTTCTGACATATGAACCCGTATAGCACCACCATTATCAAGAGCGGAATGATGTAGTAGATAAAGAAAAACACCAGGGTGAGTTGCTGGCCCTGGCTTTCGTTGTCGGTTAGATCAGGATCTATGGAGCAGTAAGTTACATTATCGTGGACAGTTATCACGTGATACAAAGCGTAGTGGATGTTCAGCAAGGCGCTGGCTATCCATACCACAGCCATGGCCACCATCAGCCGGCCGGCAGTCAGCAAGCGCCTGGTCTCTAGTGGGCGCAAGATGGCTATGAATCGCTCCATGGAGATGACGGTCAGGATAAAGATTGAAGAGGTAGTGGTGGCAGCCATGATGTAATGATGGACCTTACACATGAAGTCGCCCAAGAACCAGCCAACGCTGACGAACATAAGGAGCTTGGGGACGATGCAGAAGATCGAGACGAGAAGATCCGCCACAGCCAGATTGGCCAAGAAGAAGTTTGTGACCGTGCGCATTGAGCGGTTATAAGCAATGACGAAGATGACGAGGAGGTTGCCACAGAGGCCTAGAATAGACGTCACTGTGAAGCTTATGATCAGAATCTCCTTCAAAGGTGATTCAATGTACGGGTCCTTCCATACTGTGCCATTGGTATCATTGGCAAACTCTGTATAAAGGAAAACAATAGAATAGAGTGTTTAATTCCGTGGTATCGTGAAGTTCAAAATAAAATAGACTCATGCACATTCGCCTACATAGTGTGATTGCTTTAATGGTTCCTTTTGTCAACTTCAACTGCTCTTTGCCTGTGTATTAATAGCGATATTACTGGTGAAAAAATCTTTAAATTCTCATCACTATCATCTTTCAGGCCGGTGCGTGCTGATGAGAGTATTGCAGTGCGATTCCAAAGAGAGCCGTCAACACTTGGTAAACAGAATATCCCTTCTGCTGTTTACCCACGAAATAACAATGAATTAGATCCAGAATGAATCGACATTCTGTGCCTGAATCATAAGCCGAATCCCAGTGAAGCCGTTTGTTTCTTAAATAGGATTCTGTGTTGTTCTGTTGAAGGGTCATCCTCTCCCTTTTGTGACTTGAGATGGATATTTGTTCGGCGTTATGTTTCAAATATCGCGTCGCTATCCAAACAAAAGTTGAAATTACTTCAGACGATGTGTTGGAAGCAGCTCATGATGGTACGCACGCGTTTGGGCTGTAATAAGGCAAACTTACCCTCCATTTTTATTGATGATGTGCTGTTGAAAAGTGCTGCAACTTGTTCCGCTGGCACTAAGCAAAACCCTGACGAGGAATGCTTCCCATTTTCAAGCAAGGTTGGATACCAAGAATTCCTCTAGGTGTCAGCTTTATCTGCTTAAAGAAATAAAGGAAGATTAAGGCACAAATATTCTGAAACTGCCTCCTTGATAACGTCAGGTGGATACAGGGCCACATTTTGGGGAGAGGGATACATTTTTCCCGGGGGATGGGGAATATAAATTTTGTTTTTTGGGGAGGGGGTTTGGCGTGGCACCCATTTCCCCCCTCTAGGATCCACTGCTAATATCTCTTCATAGTGTCATTGCGTTTACTTTGTGTCAGATATTTGAAACGGGGATGATGCACTTCCAAAAGTCTTACCTACAGTGGGCTCATTAACATGCCTTTGAATGCATTATACATTTTTTATATGGATTGGACAAGTCTTCGATTAACATTTCCATGATTTTGCTGTCAAAATGTGTAGGCTATAAAAATGTTGCATTGTTCCGCGATTTGGAGAAATTGTACTACTCCAATCATTTTGGTAAAAAGGCAAAAAGTTGGTTATGGCATCCTCAGTCCTTTTGGGACGCTACCGTGGTTCATGTGCCCAAGCAAGGTGTGCCCGAACCGTTGCCTGAGGGCGTGCTTGCCTGTACTCGACTTCGCTCCTGCTGTTTGCTTTTGTTTTATTTTCTCGAGCCGGAGTCTGCTCGTAGCTCCTCCGGGGACGACATGCTATCCCCGGCTCCCTGAAACGCAACACCGCGGCGATTTTGCAATTTAAGAAGGGAAGGGGGTTCGTGTGTGTGGGTGATATTTGGGGAAAACAGAACAAGTGGGGTCCCGGATTAAAAACCTTAGACTGTGGTAAAAACATCTGACTGAATTCCCAAGCTGAAAGATACCCGATTTAAGGTAGTATGGCTGGGAAAAGATGGTTGTTTTCGTTAATTTGTCCAGTTGGTTTTGTAACGGGGAGCCATGAATTCAATTTTTCGTGACCTGTCAAAATACCAATTCAGTTTTGATTCTATGGTCTTATTATTCGACAGAAAGCAAGCTTCCAAAGATTTGCAGACGCTATAGGGACGTAATTAGATACCCGAAAAACAGATTTTTAATCAGGTGGTACTACTGACTGTGATTCTACACACACTTCAGAATATTGGGGACATTAACGGTGCTGGCTCTGTCCCCTTTTTTGGAGGGGGGGAAGAACTTTGCTTGTCCACGGGTCTCAACGGGAGTGAGGGGGCCTTCTGTGCTTAAGAACTGTAGCTTAACGCTGTCCCCAGTCTTTCCATTTCTTGACGGTGTGCGCCTAAGGCACTTCATTACTAAAAGATGTATCAATTTATTGAAATGCCGAACGCTTTCAACGCGCTTCTTTTTAAACAAATTACCCATCGATCAATCATTTAATACGCACCCTTTCCCGTCTCCCTTGAAATTATTGTGGCGCGCTTCTTTCGCGCCACTGTCACCCCTCAGTGCATGGACAGTGAAGAGAACTTCGTTCCCCTAGCTGTGATCACGTCTGCACCTTGCGCCACACGGACCCCTCTGAACATCGACAACCTAACGGTTGTGAGTTCTATTATTCCAGGCGCTCTTTACACTTCTACCCGTGAACTGTCTCAGGACCCATACACCCTAATGAAATCACGCCATGGCATATTACACCTCACGCGTTGCACCATACCCTGTCAGCCCCTGGGATCAGATTGCTGGTTAAGATTATGAACCAACGGGCCAATTAAATACATCTGAGAAGAAAACTTGGGTCGAAACGGTCGCATTATGGTGTGCGCATTAATTTGCTTGCTGTAATACCTGCCAGGCGTGATTGAAGAAGATCGGGATGGTCGAGCGATTATGACACAGTGTAAAGTTTAATTTTGTGTGGGCAAGAAGTAATTGTAAAACAAATTCAGAACCCAGTTAACCAAGTTAGCATTGTTCCAAAAAGGTATGTGCAGTAAGGCAAGACATATTTGGAAGTGTTTTTGACAGTATTTTCTTTTATGCAACTTTCGAACAAAACGACTCAAGGAAATCTAGACACAAATGGTAAACTTTACTTGTACAAATTCACTTATTTCTTAAATCCAAGTGGATTTTTTTCCTTTCTGTAAAGAAAACCACCGTTTCCATAGTTCACTAGCGACTTTTTCTAATTGCCCGATTCGCGATCAAAGTTTAAGCATCCCTCAAGCTGAAATGCTCATTTGTAGAGTGTGCTTTGGGCGTGACACGCACTCCGTCGCAAACCAGGGTCCCACGGGTTCATCCTTGTACATGCCGTACCATGAGTAATGTATCTTTAGTGGGGGCAATTTGGCCGGCCACGGGCTCGTTACGACCGCGCCGTGCCCCAGGGACTGGCAGGCAAGATCACCTGTGTGACCGGTTTCGTGCCCAGTATGATTGAAATGTTTGCAGGGGGCCTATCTTTCCAGCACGTATGCCGCAGAGCCATGAGAAAAGCCGTAAATCAATGAGATATTTGGGCCTAAGATATGAGAACGTCCGTTTGTATCAGTGATATCATAATGGTGACGCTGGCAGAATTAGTACCATACAAATGGCCATTTGGAAGTAAATCTAAAATATGTTGTACTTCATTACAGTCTTCCAATCGACACACTTTTCAGGAGCAATAAATTTATTTTTAGTGTATGTTCTAACTAAGACAATATAGAGCCAAGGCTTCCAGACATATGATTGTGTCAGTGCACAACGGAGGAAAGGCGAAACATTGCCTCCGTGTGTAGCGTTTTCTGGGTCTACAGCAATTTCTTCAATAACATTTAATAAAAGCGCACGGTGAACCAGCGAGCTAAATATTCCTTGGCTGCCGCCTTTGTTTTTGAAGTCTTGGATAAAGGTGAGATACCGGGCAACCAACCTTTCTGCGCATTTGTCATTGTAAGAGGACACTGTAATATTAAAAAGCTCAATAACCGCTGCCAGTCCTATTTGCCGAGCAGGTGGTCTGCATTGCGGCAATCAAACAGAAAACTAACTAAGCATCCTAAACTCACGAGGTATAACATAAATGAGCGATTAAAGTCAGTCTGGCGCCCGCCACCTAATGTATTTCAGCTCTTCGACGACATTTCTGTATTGCCATATCCCCCCCCCCAAAAGGGAATTCGTGCGTCGAGGCTTAGCATATCAGAAAATACATTGCCTTGAATTCTACGGTTTGATTAAATCAAGGAACTCTTAATTATTCGGCGGGCATTTCGACGGGTTCTAACCGATTTAAGATTCTAAGCGCAAAGGTTTCAGGTGCTTTTTATTAACGTCATGCAGATAATAACCTCTAATCCCTTTATACCGTAAAACTTCATTAATTGCTTGTTGGGGTGTACTGTTTGCCCCCAAACTTGAAAAAAAGTTGCAGACGTACTTTAACTTTTACGTGGAGGTGTTGCTCTTCCATACATTTACTGCACATTTTTCTTCTCAGGTAAAAGTCAGGCTCATATACTGTGTACTGCAAGGAATTTTCTCTACCAAAGTTTCAAAGCTCTTGTGGTGTTATTTCAGCCAAAATTGACACATCTATTAAAGGGAATTACTTTGAGTTTTTAATTAAAGAAACAGCAAGTACAGACACAAAAACTCAGTTGCAGAGTTTTAAGGTAACAAGTTTGAATAATTTTTTTATCAAGCTCGGGTGTCTGTTTAAAAAAATAATGAGCAATAGTTCCCGGTCATTCGTTTGAATCCACCGTGGTGTGAATAATACCGCGGTTTGGCTGTGCGAGCAAAGGCAGAAAACTATTGGACTTTATGCTGATTACATTTCTACAAACGTTCACACTTTTGACCCTCGCGTCTGGCGGGGAAGTGGGAAGAAAATGAAAGCATAAGACCGATGAAAGAACCGACCGTTTCCCAACCATTATCCGCTGGAGAAAGAATGCATAAATTCCCAGCCGAGTCTATTTACGTCGAGATCCTAAAGGTTAACTGATCAAAAGAAGTTCCTGGGAACGATGGCTCCGCGACAATTTCATTTCGGCGCGAAGCGTTTGTTTCGGCGGGAATCTTTTAACTCTTAAGAATGTTTATGTGTACATGAACGGTCCCGTCGCATAACACTTCACGCGCAGAGTGTCTGTTCTCAACAAACATCCATGAACGTCCTTTTTAAAAACTCCGATGTGGTTATTTATTGACTGAGTTTTACACCCTGCAGACAAGTAAGTGTCTATACTATAGTTCAACAGGAGACGATCAATTAATCACGTTATATTTTATGTAGATTCCATCTAACACTCTAAAGCAGTAACTGAGTGAATCTTAGTCGGTTCAGAATGGAGGTGTTTTGGGAAACTGATGAAAGCTTTCTTTAACTAATTAAATGGCTGTCCAATATGCTCATTATGACACGTGTTTTCAGGTCAACCTGGGACCTATTTGTGGCTTTAGGGAGCGGATAATTGAAGCACTTTCCGCTTGAATTCCAACAGTTTTGCGATCAAATCGTCGATAGAGTGTTTAATCTTGCAAGGACTCGTGCATCTAAGCCATCGCTGCGCACTCCGAAAATGTCAGTGCCTTATCGTGCATAATCGTTCTCCCTTCATCCATCAACCGATCCTTTTTATTCCAAGTGAGGATTAAGTCATTTGGTGTGCTATATGAAAGGGCTTTTAAGTGTCAACGGGAACTCGAGAGATTAATGCGTCGACAGGCGAACGTCACTGTTTCTTTGTTGTTGATTGCTCTTCGGTTTTACGAACATTTTCACATCAGCATTTAATTTTCATCTCAGGATTTACAATGTACCTTGTGTAAAGATGACTGAATATAGCGTCGTGTTTTACTCGGCTGCATTCAAGTTGAAGTATTCAGTTCCAGTCAGGCTCTCGGCAATAAATAATAGGTCATTACAGCAGACAGCAAAAAGCTGTTATCCCCTTGACTACTTTGTCAGTGTATCATTCTGAAGGCCAACTTGGATCATAATTTGGACATCACGTAAATGCAGCGCTAATTTGACTGAGCAGCGGCGGATAAGCGCATGCTAATTTATGAAATATTTTACCCGATGCTATTCAACAACCCATGGAACTGCTTTCAAATTATCAGAT